AAATGCCGGGTGTTATTGGAATAAGGTCATCCATCACCTGCTGGATTTTAGTTTAAGGAGTTCAAATGTGGATTTAACTTCGACTGTCTCTTGATATTGTTATGAGGGTCTTCAAATACGATCCCTCGTTGAGGATTTATCTTGTGATGTTTCACCTTTGAGCTTTGCAAGGAACTCCAGGACTTGTATGGGAGTACTACCATCACACCCGGGGATGCAGTACGACCACAACCAGAGAAGCTGGGATGTTGTTTCCATCCCAGAGTGAGGAGCTCTGGTACTGGGCCAGTCTGATTCTGACCAGGCCAGGTGCGGTGCGGTGATGGTCCTCCCCCTCCCTCTGCAGCATGCTGCTGGTGGACAGGCTGGGTATGGGGCTGGGGTCCTGGGCTTGGCTGGACCAGGGGGGCTGGTGCAGGGCCTGCCAGGAGTGTGAGCGCCGCTATCTGACGCTGGAGGAACCAGACGGTGTGTTGAGTTCCACAGACGGGGGAAGGGGTCAGTGTGTAACCTAGAAGAAGTGCAGTTTCTTGTATGCAGTTATTTTGCATCTCAAAAGGTTGGGTGGGTGGTGGTACATACCTCCTTTGTATGCTCTTTCATATACACACCATCAATGGGGTTGTTGTACATTTGGCCCATGTTATCTAGCTGTATTTAGTGACACTAGATCTAAAGACATCAGGGGGTGTTTGTCTCCACAGAGATGGTGAAACTGCCAATGGGTTAGGCCTATATTAGTGACAGATGCCTATGGGTTAGGCCTATATTAGTGACAGATGCCTATGGGGTTACATTGCTCCTTCACACCCCTTCTCCTTGGCCCAGGTTGAGGTGAGAGATGGGCGCAGCCTGGGAGGCTGGAAAGAAGGAACTAGGGCAGTGGCTTTTAAATTTAGCTCAACAAGCCCCACAGCTGGAGGCAGAGCAGCTTTGTACTCTGAGCTGTTTTGGGCTCGGAGCACAGGGGTGGGCGGAGTCGGAGATGCTGCACTTACTCAGCAGTTAAGTTTCACACTTTTCTTTTTAAAAAGGGGACATGTCAGAGAGGGGAAGAGAACGGGAGAGACGTCCTCATTTCTAGCAGCCGTGTTGTTGGTGTAGTGCCATGCAAGGGTTACAATGGGACTCTTTTAAATTCTGCAGTGGTCTACTTGCTGGTGATGCATAAATGAAATATCTCAGGAAGCTGAATTATTTTTGTTGCAACATAATCCAAAGTTTTATCCATTATGATGATGAGGAAGTTCATGGGGATGATGATGATGATGACAGTGAAGTTTGTCAATCATGTAATACCCAAGTGTGTGTTGTGTGGTTGCAGATGAGCCGGCTAGCCCGAGTGTTGACCATGAGGCCACGTCCTTTCCTGCTTCCGCTGTGATATCTGGCGCTCCAGCCATACGCCCCCTGAACCCAAGCTCCTCCCCGTGCCCTTTCATTCGCCGACAGCTGTCACATGGCCAAGGTAAGAGGCACTCTGGGGGCGGGGCTCCTGGTTGTCATGGTTATGATGCAGATACAGTTCTGTCTGTTGCTGTGTTATCAATGCCGTTGTTGTCTGTTTCAGTCATTGGTGGCATCTGAAACATGGTACCTTATTCCGTATGTAGTGCACTACTGTTAACCACATCCTAATGGGCCATGGTCAAAAGTACTGCACTATATAGGGAATACTACCGTTCTGTTTCAGCCACCTCCATTGTGTTGTTTTCTGAGGATGCATGACATTGAACCAGTTCATTGTACAGGCTTGAAAGCAGCAAGGATGTTTTCTTCCATCAGTGCCGAATCACTTTTGAAGTTAAACTGTCATTGCTTAAATATCCCATTCACTTTGGGCTGTGCATTTCATATCAACACAATTCTGTCCTGAAAATACATTTGACTGGTAATGCTTATCGGTCTATAGGTTAATTTGCATAATTTTGTGGAATTAAATTGGCGTGTGTGTATATTCGTTAGTCGTCATGCATTTTATTTATCACACGCACAGCTTACAGAGCCTAGTTTGAGGAGCGGAATAGCCTACCACCTGTCAGACAGCACGAGAGTGGCTCCTCAAAAAGCCTGGAGGCTACTGGAGTGAAACCTGCTTTTGTAAGCCCAGTCATTGCGCAACAAATAACAACTCTAAATCTCAATCTCAACTCGTAAAGCGCGCCTCCCATTCGGATGCATAAACTATAGCCTGCCTACTATCAGCGAGTCACCCACCACTTTGCAATGTGAGCTTGAGGCAGTATAATTGTTTGAAACCTGATCGTTTTACTTTACTTGAAATAATGAGGCATGTCTTACCTTGCTTCAAAGTAGCCTTGCGAAAATCCATCCAAAGAGACGTGGAGGCAATTATTTAAGACTTCCTTGTGCCAATAACCAGCATTTCTCTCCTGTTCTATTGGTTTTCATATCAACTTTCTTTCGTTGTCCAGAAGCCAAAGACACAATCCTAGTCATAATATCAACCCATCATAGTAGTTGCTCTTTCTAAGTTTCTAACTGAGATTTTCATCTCTGTTACATATGGAACTGCTCGCGTTAGGTGCGTTTAGAACTGTGTTTTCTCCGAATTGCATTTTGGCAAATGTTTGAAAATGACGTTTTATTAGTTGCATGTTCAATAATAGGCTATAGCCTTTTGACTGTAAGACAATAGGCGTGCTATTGTTGCATGTTTTCAGTAAGCTCTTAATGAAAAATGTCCGGTCCTTGTATGCATGCATAGTATCAGAGAGGAAGAGGCGAAGTGAGAGGTTTCATTCTCGCCAAAATCTGTCCAAAATAAGCCCTTCCCGCCTTGGGACGCCTCCCATTGTTAGGGCGGAAACGTAATCATCTCGTCGTTGTATACAGATCTCTGATAGTATTTTCTGTTGGTCAAGTAATTTTACCGTTTCGAGAAAATGTAATCGTTTGTTGACTGGTTAATAAGGGTCAGTTAGTCGGCAGCAAAATTGACCGAAATTTGAATCCCTAGTCCTGTGATATTGAGCCCTAAAACCACCACTGACCCTCACCAATAACACTTAGCTGACACATCACTCTGCCCTGACTCCCTAAAACACTTACGTGCCCCTTTTGCCAAGACACAGCCCCTCACACTGTCGCTGTATATACGTTCCATTCTCAAGAGTCCCTCAGAAATGCTATCCTGGAGTCTGATGCCGCGACCAAACAAGAGAGGTCCAAATCCTGTGACGAGGGTCTGGATAACTACAAAGAGGAAGGCAGAGGGTAAGTCCCTTTTGAAATGTGGTCTTGTCTTCTCATGATACTCTTCCAATGGTTCTCTGTTCATCCTCCTAATATCGGCCATTTTGTCCCCCTCCTCCTCTCGGTCTCCAGCCGGTCCAACAGTAAACACATGCCTGGCCTGAGAGGCCTGAGAAAGGTGAGGACACGGATCAATCCAGGGTTAATTAACCACATGTTGGCTGTGTTATAACAGCTCTATAAAGGTTTAACCATGACATGTTGGCTGTGATTATAACAACTATAAAGGGTTATAACGGCTCTATAAAGGGTTATAACAGCTCTATAAAGGTTTAACCATGACATGTTGGCTGTGTTTATAACAACTATAAAGGGTTATAACGGCTCTATAAAGGGTTATAACAGCTCTATAAAGGGTTAACCATGACATTTTGGCTGTGTTTATAACAACTATAAAGGGTTATAACAGCTCTATAAAGGGTTAACCATTGCATGTTGGCTGTGTTATAACAGCTCTATAAAGGGTTATAACAGCTCTATAAAGGGTTAACCATGACATGTTGGCTGTGTTATAACAGCTCTATAAAGGGTTATAACAGCTCTATAAAGGGTTATAACAGCTCTATAAAGGGTTAACCATGACATTTTGGCTGTGTTTATAACAACTATAAAGGGTTATAACAGCTCTATAAAGGGTTAACCATTGCATGTTGGCTGTGTTATAACAGCTCTATAAAGGGTTATAACAGCTCTATAAAGGGTTAACCATGACATGTTGGCTGTGTTATAACAGCTCTATAAAGGGTTATAACAGCTCTATAAAGGGTTAACCATGACATGTTGGCTGTGATTATAACAACTATAAAGGGTTATAACGGCTCTATAAAGGGTTATAACAGCTCTATAAAGGGTTAACCATGACATGTTGGCTGTGTTATAACAGCTCTATAAAGGGTTATAACAGCTCTATAAAGGGTTAACCATGACATGTTGGCTGTGTTTATAATGTCTGTTTAATTGCTAGGGACCATTATGATTAGGGCTAGATATTCCCCTTTTCCACACACAGTGCCTGACGGTCTGACAAGCTGCTACTTTTATGAAATTGGTTTTGAATTCAGTCTTTGTATTCTCGATGTGCCTTTGAAAGGTTTTCTGATCACATTGACAGGATGTGTTGTGTGGTTTTTGGCTTATCTTGATTTCCTCAGCCATAATGAACTCACCTGTCTGTGATTTTTCTGCAGTAGTCAGGCTTTGATGCTCCTGAGATACCAGTAGAAAGGGACTCCCTGAGGATTGACGCTCTTTTCTTTAAGAGCACAGGCTCTGTGTTTCTGCTGATACTCCTATTACTGTGTGTGTGTGTGTGTGTGTGTGTGTAGGCTTTGGATGGACACAAGTCGTCTGATGACTCTGGCTCCAGAAGGGACTCCTCTTCAGATATCTTCAGTGACTCTTCTAAAGAAGGCTGGCTCAACTTCAGGCAGCTCAACACTGAGAAGAGCAAGGTATATGTTCACACGTCTACCCTTTTCATATTGCCAAATCATGTGGAACTCTACTGTGCTGGTCTGGTTACGTATCCACCATAGTTGCTGGAAAGGACAATGTGAAACAAAAATATCCACAATAGTGTGAAAAAGGAAACATGCACGCCCACCCACACACTGCAAACTATTTTGATCTTCATGCAGAGCCTTATCTCGACATTTCTCTCTCGCGCTCTCTCTCTCCCCAAATCTTTGTAGCGTGTGGGTGGGGTTTCGAGGTCGTGGAAGCAGATGTATGCCGTGCTGCGAGGCCACGCCCTCACACTCTATAAGGACAAGAAGGACGGCGTCTCTCACGCCTCTTCCCACTCCCAGTCTGACGACGACCCACAGCCAATCAGCATCAAGGCCTGCCTGATTGACATCTCCTACAGCGACACGAAACGCAAGAATGTGCTGCGGCTGACCACGTCGGACTGCGAGTACCTGTTCCAGGCAGAGGGCAGGGATGACATGCTGTCCTGGATCAGAGTCATCCAGGAGAATAGTAATCTGGATGATGAGGTGGGTTCTGCTGGGAAAGTCACTGCTGTAATTTACTGCATTACTAATCTCATCATAATCACGTGATGTCATTGTAATGCCTCTTAGATTTAATCATTCTTTGCTGAGCATATGTTTTTATCCAAAGTGATTCACATACAGTAGCTAGCATTTATACCAAGATTCGGGTCCCCAGGTCATAACCTTACCTCAAGGCAGTTGTTTCAAATGCTAGTGTCCTTTTTTTTGCAGCCTTCACTTGTGAGTAGCCTAGCCTGCATTGGGGCTTAGGCGACACTTCTTGGATCTCATTTACACCAGTCATTCTCACTGTCCTTGGTCACTAGTAGAAACAATAGATTTTGGACAGAGAGACTAAGCCCCCTTTGTTAACCGCTCCTCCCCTTGGGTTTACTGCTATGAAGAGTTTGTCCCGGTTGCCTTGGTGTTTACCCCACAAATAAGACTCACACTGTTTTGTTCTGTGTGTAGACTGACTACTACTACTGCCTAATAATGTCAAACCATTTTAACACTAGGGGCAGTTTCCCTGACATAGATTAAGCCTATTCCTGAAAATGCATTGAAAAATGTATTTTAGTCCAGAACTAGGCTTAAACTGTGTCCGGGAAATTACCCCTTGATTCTTTATGCATACTGTATGTATGATATCACTAGGCTACAGAAAATATAAAAACATCCCCTGCTGGACCCTAACAAGAATGATTTACTGTTGCTGTTCTATCACCTCATCTTGGTTTTATGTTAACTTGTCTGTTTGCCTTTGAAATGAGCTAACAGTGCACATGCTTGTTCAGCTGTTTGCCCCTTCTCAGTTAGCCTTGGGTCTTTGTCTGTGGTCTCAGTCTCCCACAGAGTCTCACTACTGGGGACCAACCCATGACTTCTAAATAGCACAAACAGGATTCAGTGTGGTAAACTACTAAATCATATTCACTTTGAACTCTACAAAAACTGTAGATATTTAATAAGATTACGTATACTGGAGAAATTGTACTATCGATTGTGCAGGACTGATAGATTCATAATATCAGTGATAAATCCTTTAGGTTTGATTCTTTACATGGACTGACTTTCTTGTCCATGTTGTGTTTCAGAATGCTGGTATAACCAGCCAGGACCTGATCAGCAGAAAGATCAGAGAGTACAACACCATGATGAGGTATGCAGCCTGACACACATGCCCTCTTTATTTCACCCACAATGCAACATCCTTTTACACTCACTCCTATGCACAAGCCCTTAAAGTCACAGAGTATAATTGAATGTACTATAATATTTTTGTTTTTGTGTTTGATCCAGTGCTCCCAGCACCAAGACTGAGCCTTCCCCCAAAACCTCCCGGCAGTCCCTCAGTATCAGACACACCCTCCTGGGGGGGAAGGGAGAGGGCAAGAGCCCACACTCACCCAAAACAGGAGAGCGGGGTAAGATCACTACAGAGGGCTTAAAACAAGGGATTACAATTACCACCAGTAGACGTGCTGTGTCCTTTACAAAGCTGGAAAGGAGGGAATAGTGCAGAAGTTGTAGCTATTCTACACAGTAAAGGTGCACATTACACCACAACAGTAGACAATAAATATGATAGCTCTTCGTGTGGAAATATGTTATTGAAAATGTGTATCTTTGACTGTCTGCAGAAGCAGCTGTTGACCCTCCAGTAGCTAGTGTGGTTTGAGTGTGTGTATCTGTAGTGTGGACTGGTCTGACATGGCTGCTTTGTGTGTGTTCTGTCAGATGACTCCAGTCCTCCACGGGATAAGGCTGCCTGGAGGAGGGGCATCCCCGGCATCATGAGGAAGCCCTTTGAGAAGAAGACCACAACTGGGGTCACCTTTGGGGTGCGCCTCGATGACTGCCCATCTGCACAGACCAACAGGGTAAGTGAGAGAGTTTGCGTGTGTTTACATGTGAGAGAGACATGGTGGAAATGATGTTGAATGAATTGAGCATGTGTTTTGTTCTCCTTTGATGGTCTAAATGTGTGACGTTTAAGTTCTACTTTGTGTATATGAAAGTGGTATCTGTTTATTTGTTTCTTGATTCATCCAATATGTATAACGCTAAAGGCTGTATGCTGTGTAGTTTGTTCCTCTCATCGTGGAGGTGTGCTGTAAGCTGGTAGAGGAGAGGGGGCTAGAGTACACTGGGATCTACAGAGTACCAGGGAACAACGCTGCCATCTCCAGCATGCAGGAGGAGCTGGACAACAAAGGACTGATGAGTGACATCGACATCCAAGAAGATGTGAGTGACACACACACACACACACACATCAACCTCTCCTTGTCCCAATATGTAATCCCCACATGTTTTAAGATGACCACCATCATTCTTGTCCCCAAGAACTCTAAGGCTTCATGCCACAATGACTACCGTCCAGTAGCACTCACTTCTGTAATCATGAAGTGCTTTGAGAGGCTGGTTATGGCACACATTAACTCCACCATCCCAGACACCCTAGACCCACTCCAATTTGCATACAACCCCAACAGATCCATAGATGACGCAATCTCAATTGCTCTCCACACTGCCCTCACCCACCTAGATAAGAGGAATGAATACCTACAGTTGTCAGAAGTTTACATACACTTAGGTTGGAGTCATTAAAACTCGTTTTTCAACCACTCCACAAATTTCTTGTTAACAAACTATAGTTTTGGCAAGTTGGTTAGGACATCTACTTTGTGCATGACACAAGTAATTTTTCCAACAACTATTTACAGACAGATTATTTCACTTATAATTCACTGTATCACAATTCCAGTGGGTCAGAAGTTTACATACACTAAGTTGTCTGTGCCTTTAAACAGCTTAGAACATTTCAGAAAATGATGTCATGACTTTAGATGCTTCTGATAGGCTAATTGACATCATTTGAGTCAATTTGAAGGTGTACCTGTGGATGTATTTCAAGGCCTACCTTCAAACTCAGTGCCTAATTGCTTGACATCATGGGAAAATGAAAATAAATCAGCCAAGACCTCAGAAAAAAAAATGGCAGACCTCCACAAGTCTGGTTCATCCTTGGGAGCAATTTCCAAATGCCTGAAGGTACCACGTTCATCTCTACAAACAATAGTACGCAAGTATAAACACCATGGGACCACGCAGCCATCATACCGCTCAGGAAGGAGACGTGTTCTGTCTCCTAGAGATGAACATACTTTGGTGCGAAAAGTGCAAATCAATCCCAGAACAACAGCAAAGGACCTTGTGAAGATGCTGGAGGAAACAGGTACTAAAGTATCTATATCCACAGTAAAACAAGTCCTATATTGACATAACCTGAATGGCCGCTCAACAAGGAAGAAGCCACTGCTCCAAAACCGCCATAAAAAAGCCAGACTACGGTTTGCAACTGCACATGGGGACAAAGATCATACTTTTTGGAGAAATGTCCTCTGGTCTGATGAAACAAAAATATAACTATTTGGCCATAATGACCATCGTTATGTTTGGAGGAAAAAGGGGATAACTTGCAAGCCAAAGAACTCCATACCAACCGTGACGCACGGGGGTGGCAGCATCATGCTGTGAGGGTGCTTTGCTGCAGGAGGGACTGGTGCACATCACAAAATAGATGGCATCATGAGGAAGGAAAATTATGTGGATATATTGAAGCAATATCTCAAGACATCAGTCAGGAAGTTAAAGCTTGGTCGCAAATGGTCTTCCAAATGGACAATGACCCCAAGCATACTTCTAAAGTTGAGGCAAAATGGCTTAAGGACAACAAAGTCAAGGTATTGGAGTGGCCATCACAAAGCCCTGACTTCAATCCTATAGAACATTTGTGGGCAGAACTGAAAAAGCGTGTGCGAGCAAGGAGGCCTACAATCCTGACTCAGTTACACCAGCTCTGTCAGGAGGAATGGGCCAAAAATAAATAATTCTCTCTAGTATTATTCTGACATTTCACATTCTTAAAATAAAGAGGTGATCCTAACTGACCTAAGACTGGGAATTTTTACTAGGATTAAATGTCAGGAATTGTGAAAAACTGAGTTTAAATGTATTTGGCTAAGGTGTATGTAAACTTCCGACTTCAACTGTATGTGAGAATCCCTCTTGTAGCTCAGTTGGAAGAGCATGGCGTTTGCAACGCCAGGGTTGTGGGTTCGTTTCCCACGGGGGGGGGGGGGGGGCAGTATGAAAAATGTATGCACTCACTTAACTGTAAGTCGCTCTGGATAAGAGCGTCTGCTAAATGACTAAAATGTAAATGTAATGCTGTTCATTGACTACAGCTCAGTGTTCAACACCATTGTCCCCTCTAAGCTCTTCACCAAGCTTAGGACTCTTAGGACACCTCCCTCTGCAACTGGATCCTGGACTTCCTGACGGGCCGACCCCAGGTGGTGAGGGTACATTATAGTACATCACCTCTGCTGCACTGACCCTCAACACAGGGGTGTGCGCTTAGTTCCTTCCTGTACTCCCTGTTCACCCACGTCTGTGTGACCACGCACGACTCCAACACCATCAAGTTTGCTGACGACACAACGGTGGTAAATAAAATAAAATAAAATAAAATAAATGAGTCAGCCTACAGGGAGGAGGTTAGTGACCTTGCAGTGTGGTGCCAGAACAACAACCTCTCCCTCAACGTCAGTAAAACCAAGGAGCTGATCGTGGATTACAGGAAAGGGGGGGGGGATGGCGGCGATCATGCCCACGGCGATCATGCCCACATTGACAGGGCAACAGTGGAGCAGGTCGAGCGCTTCAAGTTCCTTGGTGTCCAAATCACTAATGACTTGAAATGGTCCAAACGCGTGCACAGTCGTGGAGAAGGCGCAACAGCGCCTCTTCCCCCTCAGGAGGTTGAAAAGGTTTGGCATGGGCCCTCAAATCCTCAAAAGGTTCTACAGCTGTACCATTGAGAGCATTTTGACTGGCCGCATCACTGTCTGGTATGGCAACAGCACCGCCCTCGATCACATGGCGCTATAGAGTGTGGTGCGGACAGCCCAGTACCTCACTGGGGCCGAGCTCCCTGCCATCCAGGACATCTCTATCAGGCAGTGTGGTAGGAAGGCCCGGAAAATCGTTAGACTCCAACCAAGCAATAAGACTGATAAATAGCTAACATACAGTGAGGGTGCAAAAAAGTATTTGATCCCCTGATGATTTTGTACATTTGCCCACTGACAAAGAAATGATCAGTCTATAATTTTAATGGTAGGTTTATTTGAACAGTGAGAGACAGAATAACAACAAATAAATCCAGAAAAACACATGTAAAAAATGTTATGAATTGATTTGCATTTGAATGAGGGAAATAAGTATTTGACCCCTCTGCAAAACATGACTTAGTACTTGGTGGCAAAACCCTTGTTGGCAATCACAGAGGTCAGACGTTTCTTGTAGTTGGCCACCAGGTTTGCACACATCTCAGGGGGGATTTTGTCCCACTCCTCTTTGCAGATCTTCTCCAAGTCATTAAGGTTTCGAGGCTGACGTTTGGCAACTCAAACCTTCAGCTCCCTCCACAGATTTTCTATGGGATTAAGGTCTGGAGACTGGCTAGGCCACTCCAGGACCTTAATGTGCTTCTTCTTGAGCCACTCCTTTGTTGCCTTGGCCGTGTGTTTTGGGTCATTGTCATGCTGGAGGTTCTCACCCAAGATTTGACGGTACATGGCCCCATCCATTGTCGATTTGATGCAGTGAAGTTGTCCTGTCCCCTTAGCAGAAAAACACCCCCAAAGCATAATGTTTCCACCTCCATGTTTGACGGTGGGGATGGTGTTCTTGGGGTCATAGGCAGCATTCCTCCTCCTCCAAACACGGCGAGTTGAGTTGATGCCAAAGAGCTCCATTTTGGTCTCATCTGACCACAACACTTTCACCCAGTTCTCATCTGAATCATTCAGATGTTCATTGGCAAACTTCAGACGGGCATGTATATGTGCTTTCTTGAGAAGGGGGACCTTGCGGGCGCTGCAGGATTTCAGTCCTTCACGGCGTAGTGTGTTACCAATTGTTTTCTTGGTGACTATGGTCCCAGCTGCCTTGAGATCATTGACAAGATCCTCCTGTGTAGTTCTGGGCTGATTCTAATCAAATCAAATCAAATTTATTGGTCACATGCGCCGAATACAACAGGTGCAGACATTACAGTGAAATGCTTACTTACAGCCCTTAACCAACAGTGCATTTATTTTTAACAAAAAAAGTAGTTGAGAAAAAAAAGAGCAGAAGTAAAATAAAATAACAGTAGGGAGGCTATATATACAGGGGGGTACCGTTGCAGAGTCAATGTGCGGGGGCACCGGCTAGTTGAGGTAGTTGAGGTAATATGTACATGTGGGTAGAGTTAAAGTGACTATGCATAAATAATTAACAGAGTAGCAGCAGCGTAAAAAGGATGGGGTGGGGGGGCAGTGCAAATAGTCCGGGTAGCCATGATTAGCTGTTCAGGAGTCTTATGGCTTGGGGGTAGAAGCTGTTGAGAATTCTTTTGGACCTAGACTTGGCACTCCGGTACCACTTGCCGTGCGGTAGCAGAGAGAACAGTCTATGACTAGGGTGGCTGGAGTCTTTGACAATTTTGAGGGCCTTCCTCTGACACCGCCTCGTATAGAGGTCCTGGATGGCAGGAAGCTTGGCCCCAGTGATGTACTGGGCCGTACGCACTACCCTCTGTAGTGCCTTGCGGTCGGAGGCCAAGCAGTTGCCATACCAGGCGGTGAAGCAACCAGTCAGGATGCTCTCGATGGTGCAGCTGTAGAATCTCCTGAGGGGGAATAGGCTTTGTCGTGCCCTCTTCACGACTGTCTTGGTGTGTTTGGACCATGATAGTTCGTTGGTGATGTGGACACCAAGGAACTTGAAGCTCTCAACCTGTTCCACTACAGCCCCGTCGATGAGAATGGGGGCGTGCTCAGTCCTCTTTTTTTTCCTGTAGTCCACAATCATCTCCTTTGTCTTGGTCACGTTGAGGGAGAGGTTGTTGTCCTGGCACCACACGGCCAGGTCTCTGACCTCCTCCCTATAGGCTGTCTCATCGTTGTCGGTGATCAGGCCTACCACTGTTGTGTCGTCGGCAAACTTAATGATGGTGTTGGAGTCGTGCCTGGCCATGCAGTCATGGGTGAACAGAGAGTACAGGAGGGGACTGAGCACGCACCCCTGAGGGGCCCCCGTGTTGAGGATCAGTGTGGCAGATGTGTTGTTACCTACCCTTACCACCTGGGGGCGGCCCGTCAGGAAGTCCAGGATCCAGTTGCAGAGGGAGGTGTTTAGTCCCAGGATCCTTAGCTTAGTGATGAGCTTAGAGGGCACTATGGTGTTGAATGCTGAGCTGTAGTCAATGAATAGCATTCTCACGTAGGTGTTCCTCTTGTCCAGGTGGGAAAGGGCAGTGTGGAGTGCAATAGAGATTGCATCATCTGTGGATCTGTTGGGGCGGTATGCAAATTGGAGTGGGTCTAGGGTTTCTGGGATAATGCTGTTGATGTGAGCCATGACCAGCCTTTCAAAGCACTTCATGGCTACAGACGTCAGTGCTACGGGTCGGTAGTCATTTAGGCAGCTTATCTTAGAGTCCTTGGGCACGGGGACTATGGTGGTCTGCTTGAAACATGTTGGTATTACAGACTCAGTCAGGGACATGTTGAAAATGTCAGTGAAGACACTTGCCAGTTGGTCAGCACATGCTCGGAGTACACGTCCTGGTAATCCGTCTGGCCCTGCGGCCTTGTGAATGTTGACCTGCTTAAAAGTCTTACTCACATCGGCTACGGAGAGCGTGATCACATAGTCATCCGGAACAGCTGGTGCTCTCATGCATGCTTCAGTGTTGCTTGCCTCGAAGCGAGCATAGAAGTGGTTTAGCTCGTCTGGTAGGCTTGTGTCACTGGGCAGCTCGCGGCTGTGCTTCCCTTTGTAGTCTGTAATAGTTTTCAAGCCCTGCCACATCCGACGAGCGTCAGAGCCAGTGTAGTACGATTCAATCTTAGTCCTGTATTGACTCTGCCTGTTTGATGGTTCGTCGTAGGGCATAGCGGGATTTCTTATAAGCGTCCGGGTTAGAGTCCCGTTCCTTGAAAGCGGCAGCTCTACCCTTTAGCTCAGTGCGGATGTTTCCTGTAATCCATGGCTTCTGGTTGGGGTATGTACGTACGGTCACTGTGGGGACGACATCATCGATGCACTTATTGATGAAGCCAGTGACTGATGTGGTGTACTCCTCAATGCTGTCTGAAGAATCCCGGAACATGTTCCAGTCTGTGCTAGCAAAACAGTCCTGTATTCCTCACCGTTCTCATGATCATTGCAACTCCACGAGGTGAGATCTTGCATGGAGCCCCAGGCCGAGGGAGATGACAGTTTTGTGTTTCTTCCATTTCCGAATAATCGCACCAACAAGCTGCTTGGTGATGGTCTTGCAGCCCATTCCAGCCTTGTGTATGTCAATCTTGTCCCTGACATCCTTGGAGTGCTCTTTGGTCTTGGCCATGGTGGAGAGTTCGGAATCTGATTGATTGATTGCTTCTGTGGACAGGTCTTTTATACAGGTAACAAGCTGAGATTAGGAGCACTCCCTTTAAGAGTGTGCTCCTAATCTCAGCTCGTTACCTGTATAAAAGACACCTGGGAGCCAGAAATCTTTCTGATTGAGAGGGGGTCAAATACTTATTTCCCTCATTAAAATGCAAATCAATTCATAACATTTTTGACATGTGTTTTTCTGGATTTTTTTGTTGTTATTCTGTCTCTCACTGTTCAAATAAACGTACCATTTAAAATTATAGACTGATCATTTCTTTGTCAGTGGGTAAACGTACAAAGTCAGCAGGGGTCAAATACTTTTTTCCCTCACTGTACCTACATGGACTATCTGAGTTAACCTTGTATCTTTATTGACCTTTTATTTAAATGTTTTACACTCTGCACACTCACAGGGCCCTTCACACACACACTCACTCCATCTGCTCACTCACATAATATGCACATACATTTATACTGACTCTTCACACATGCACACCCACTCACATGTTTCATATATCCTGTTGCCAAGTCACCTTACCCCTATACATATCTACCTCCATCACATTGTAAATATGGTATTGGAACTGACCCTGTATATAGAATGCTTGCATACTTACTTATTGTGTTCTTCATATTTCTTATTTGTCGTGTGTTAAAAATACTTTTTTTACATTCTTATTGATTTATTGCATTGTTGGGTTTTGAGTTTGCAAGAAAGGCATTTCACTGTACTTGTGCATGTGACATTAAAACTTGAAACATATCTCCCATACCTCACAATAATGTTTTTAATGCTTTTTCTCACTTGCTTTCCCTGACAGAAATGGAGGGACCTCAACGTGATCAGTAGTTTACTGAAATCCTTCTTCCGGAAACTTCCAGAACCACTTTTTACAAATGGTGAGTTACTGAACACACAGTAAATGCATGCCTATAAAGAAGAGACAATTGGTTTATTTAGTCTTTGCCGTTAAAGGAACTAAGTGATCCTTGTATTCTATTTACAGAAAAATATGCCGATTTTATTGAAGCCAATCGAACAGAAGACTCAGTAGAGAGGTTGAAAGAGCTTAAAAGGCTGGTAAGTTACAGCTCATGCTATGAGGGCTTATGTTAGATCTGTAGGAATAAGAGCTTTATGTAGCCTAGCGGTATGTTTGAATTGTTGCATTCGAGCATTGAAGGTTGGTTCTCTTCTCTTCGCAGATCCTTGAATTGCCTGATCATCACTATGAAACCCTCAAATTTCTCTCTGGACACCTCAAGTTGGTCTCTGAAAACTGTGAGAAAAATAAGGTATGTCAGTGTGAGGGAGTAAATGTTTTTTTTAATGTAGCCTTTTTATAGAGAGGCCTTGTATATGGACTGGAAATGACTGGACTGAAGGCCACTCACGTCTCCTCTCTCCCCCCAGATGGAGCCTCGTAACCTGGCCATCGTGTTTGGTCCGACGCTGGTCAGAACCTCAGAGGACAACATGACCAATATGGTCAACCACATGCCAGACCAGTGCAAGATAGTGGAGAACCTCATTCAGCAGTACGACTGGTTCTTCACTGAGGAGGGGGACGATGACCCTGTTGTATGTAGCATCTCTCTCTCTTCATCTCACTACTGCTCCCTCCCCCCCCCCCCCCCCCCCCCCTCCCCACACCTATCTGAACACACTCAGTCAGACTACTCTCAGCTGGTAATAACACTGAATGTTCAGTGTGTGATGTAGTGGATGTTTGTTGATCTTGCAGGTTGGCTAAAGTGTTGTGAGGTGAACAGGATTGTTCTCTCTGCATCCCTCTTTGACTTCTCTCCTCTACTTCAACACTATCTTCCTTCATCTCCCTCATTGGATCTCTCTCTCCTGTAGACCTCAGTGGAACAGGAGAGTACAGTGCGGTCTCAGCCTGTGCCAAACATCGACCACCTGCTGTCCAACATCGGCCGTACCACAACAACCACCTCAGCTGCGGAAGTGTCAGGTAACTCACCTTTAGCTCACTGTTACCACACCTGGCGTGGCACTAATGCAACACTCCTGTTAGTTTTACCAGTATACTAATGAGCCTCAGAAAAAGGGACCCAGGAAATGTGTGTGTATGTTTAGAGATGTACCTGTATGTATTTGTTAGTCCTAAAGTAAGAGGCTTCTTGTTTGCTTTCCATCAGATTATCAAATGCTAAAGCTAAGCAAGTCTACTGAAAAGTCTCATGCTTTTGTAAAGGCAAGCTATTTTAGCAATTCTTCAATGGAAGGATTTTCGTTTATCCAAATTGGAAATTGCTGAATATAGTTTGCAAATGTTAAGCCTTTTGTTAAGGTCTGTTTAGTTGTCATTCTTTTTTCATTTGCCCAAGACAATTGTCTTTTAAGTTATATTATTTTCCCAGTTCTCTCTTATGTTTTCTTTTTCCCTTTGCTCATGTCATCTCTCCCGGTGCTTTCCTCTTTATGTTGAGATGAAGACTCCTTTTCTTTCAGTTATTTTCTTCCCCTCCTCCCATATAAACCCGGCATGTTCTTTCCCCCAAAACAACAAACAAACAAAACAACAGAGTGGAAGTGTTAACCCTTCTGACCTCTACCCTTGGTTTGTGTGTAGTGTGTTTTTTTCTCCCCTGTCCCTGTCCAGCACTCACACATTGACCCAATCTGACACAGGCCAAGTGGGCGGCGTCTATCACTCGCTGATGTCACTGGTGGACTCTGTAATGTCAGTGGTGGACAGCTGGGACTGTAGGAAGAAGGACAATGAGTGTTGTCCCCAGTGTAGCTGCCTAGTCTGCAGAAACCCTCAGCTCTGTTAACTTGGGGTGAAAAATGAAGGAGCGAAAAAAAAAGAAAAACAGAAAGAAAGAGACGTCGATGTTTTGTCATTTCCTGTCGGTGTGCACGTTTTTCACATTTCTCTAAAATGAAAATACCTTATAACCTAATGGATACATACAGAGCAGTGCCTGCAGTAGTTTCTTCTGAAAGCCTTTCTGCTGTCTCTTGTCTCTAAAGCTGATCGCGAGGACAAGTAGCATGGTACGGTCAAATCACGGTTTCACTACCGCCTGCTCATGTGGCATTACTGTCATGGTGTCTGGGGGGGGGCTGGGCTGGCTGTTGTGGAACACACTAAAAATACATCTAGGAGAGATCAGAACATAGTTACAAACACACCCACATTGACTAGGGGGGTTAGATGTATACCGGTGAGATAGTAAGCAATGGCTCTGATTTGCTTTTGCCCCTTTCAGCCCTCCTGTCACATTTGACTCTCAATCATATATTTCAGATGGACATCATAGGGTGAATCTCAAAGGTATTTTTTGTGTGCAGTCTCCTCAAAACGTTAGATGGACGCAAGGACCACATTGGAGGAGAAGGTCTGAGGAGATCTCTCCTTGCTTCCCTCTGACCTTATGTGAAAGAGGCGAGGAGATGACGCAAGGAATCAGGGAAAGACTTCTGAGATTCACCCCTAGTCTTATCAATTAACTGTTTTCAGAAACACCAACTACAGCCAAACACTGCCACCTAGCTACCTCCTTCTCCCTCACTGCTACATACTTCTACCACAACACACCAACCATCCACATCTATCAAACACCCACCTTTCCCATCAAAAACCTTGCGTGGCATACTGATATACAGTACCAGTCAAAAGTTTGGACACACCTACTCATTCAAGGGTTTTTCTTAATTGTTTACTATTTTCTACATTGTAGAATAATAGTGAAGACATCAAAACTATGAAATAACACATATGGAATCATGTAGTAACCAAAAAAGTGTTAAACAAATCAAAATATATTTGAGATTCTTCAAACTAGCCACCCTTTGCCTTGATGACAGCTTTGCACACTCTTGGCATTCTCTCAACCAGCTTCATTAGAAATGCTTTTCCAACAGTCTTGAAGGAGTTCCCACATATGCTGAGCACTTGTTGGTTGCTTTTCCTTCACTCTGCGGTCCAACTCATCCCAAACCATCTCAATTGGGTTGAGGTCGGGTGATTGTGGAGGCCAGGTCATCTGATGCAGCACTCATCATTCTCCTTCTTGGTCAAATAGCCCTTAAACAGCCTGGAGGTGTGTTTTGGGTCATTGTCCTGTTGAAAAACAAATGATAGTCCCTCTTAGCGCAAACCAGATGGGATGGCGTATTGCTGCAGAACGCTATGGTAGCCATGCTGGTTAAGTGTGCCTTGAATTCTAAATAAATCACAGACAGTGTCACCAGCAAAGCACCATCACACCTCCTCCTCCATGCTTCACGGTGGGAACCAAAACTCTGCGTCTCACAAAGACACAGCGGTTGGAACCAAAAATCTCACATTTTGACTCATCAGACCAAAGGACAGATTTCCACCAGTCTAATGTCTATTGCTCGTGTTTCTTGGCCCAAGCAAGTCTTTCTTCTTATTGGTGTCCTTTAGTAGTGCTTTCTTTGCAGCAATTCGACCATGAAGGCCTGATTCACGCAGTCTCCTCTGAACAGTTGATGTTGAGATGTGTCTGTTACTTGAACTCTGTGAAGCATTTATTTGGGCTGCAATTTCTGAGGCTGGTAACTCTAATGAACTTCTCCTCTGCAGCAGAGGTAACTCTGGGTCTTCCTTTCCTGTGGCGGTCCTCATGAGAGCCAGTTTCATCATAGCGCTTGATGATTTTTGCGACTGCACTTGAAGAAACTTTCAAAGTTCTTGACATTTTCCGGATTAACTGACCTTCATGTCTTAAAGTAATGATGGACTGTTGTTTCTCTTTCCTTATTTGAGCTGTTCTTGCCATAATATGGACTTGGTCTTTTACCAAATAGGGCTATCTTCTGTATACCACCCCTACCTTGTCACAACACAACTGATTGGCTCAAACGCATTAAGGAAATAAATTCCACAAATTAACTTTTAACAAGGCACACCTGTTAATTGAAATGCATTCCAGGTGACAACCTCATGAAGCTGGTTAAGAGAATGCAAAGAGTGTGCAAAGCTGTCATCAAGGCAAAAGGTGGCTACTTTGGAGAATCTCAAATATAAAATATATTTTGATTTGTTGAACACTTTCTTTGGTTACTACATGATTCCATAAGTGTTATCTCATAGTTTTGGTATCTTCACTATTATTCTACAATGTAGAAAATAGTAAAAATAAAGAAAAACCCTTGAATGAGTAGGTGTCCAAACTTTTGACTGGTACTGTACACACTAGAGTTTGGGTCAATTCCACCTATATTCCAAATGATTAAGGTAAATAACATTTCCTATATGGAGATATTCCATGTCCAATTCGGCTGACAAGAATTGAAATGGAATTGACCCCAACTCGGACACATAAAACTCGTAAATCAAGCACACGCACTTCATGGAAAATTCCACCCAAAAACTATATTTTGGTATTTGCTTCATTAGTCCATTGTTGATATAGTCCCAAAATGTTTTGCATGTCAGCAATCAAGTTTTCAAGATGTAGAATTTTCAAAATACAGAAATAAAGCCGGTATGATGCATTTTGTATCATATGCAAAATGTATCATACCGGCTGTGTATCTGTATGATGCGTCAACAATGGACTAATGAAACAAATACCAATAGATCGTTTTTGCTTGGAGTTTTCCATTAAGCCGTACCCCCACACTATTCTGGCTTGATAGTGGTAATATTTATGTTGTAGGGAATGGTTTCTTTGACATTTTCTTTGATAAGGTTTTTGTACGGACCTTGTTTTGTAGTGTTTGTGATCGTCAGTCATATTCAATTGACCTAACCTAGAATGTTAGGATAGAGTTCTAGACATATTGCACAACCTGTCCATTTTACTGTTGCTTTAGCCTGCATGGGTGAAAGGACAGACTACAACACACAACTATGTCCCCTTAACAGAGACGTGTTGTCATCCCTTCCTATGTGATTGATGTCTCTGAGATGGGAAAGAATGCCCTGTTGCTGGTGGTTGACTGTGTATTGTAATCGTTTGTGACTGACGTCACCTGTGGTCCGTGATGTGTTGATGTCGTCCCATTGGGTACATCCTGTTATGAGCATGAGCTGCTTCCTGTCCTAGTGCACACTGCCAGGTTTCATCATCTTCCTCTCATCCCTCCATTCCTGGGCGCCTCCTCTTCTCGTCCTCCACTGTCGCGGACAGTGTCTTTCTTCGGTGTGTCCTTCCTTCATCTCTGTGACCTACAAATCCCGTTGTTGAATCTCCTGCCCTCTCACGGTGCAGGTTTCTGTCGGTCTCTTCACTCTACCCTGTGATCTGCCTACAGTCTGTCTCTCTCTCTCCCTGACTTGATACTTGTGTTGTTCAGCAGATTGTAAATACTTTAAAGATTGTTTCTCATGCCCCTCTCCTCTCACAGATTCAGCATGTAGTGACTCCTCCAAATCAAAGGTAAGTGTAACCAAGGTTTCTGTCTCTTTTACCTCCTATTTTCATTGTTTTTACCATTTAGCAGATGTTCTCATCCAGATAGATAAGCAATTGACCATGCAGTTTCAGAGCAGAATTTGAATGTTTGTGGTGAAATTCCTCATTAAAGAACATGTTTTAATGTAATGTGGCGTCCTGGTGCTCTGTACCAGCAGGGCTTGTGGGGCTCTGGGAACAACCAGTGTAGCAGGGAGATGCTGTTTGTTAGTTATATAGTAGTTAGTGAGTGGTGTGTGACTGACATCCTTGTGTTTTGTCCCAGCAGGGCTTGTGGGGCTCTGGGAAGGACCAGTGTAGCAGGGAGATGCTTCGCTCCTCCTTCTTTGTCAGCCGCAAGCGTAAGAAGCCCAAGGACAAGGCTCAGCCCAGCAGCTCTGACGATGACCTGGACGCCGTGTATGCTAAGAAGGAGCAGCCAGAACAACAGAGCCTGAGCCACCAGGACCTCCACCCCGCCTGGTCCCCAGAGAGCCAGACGGAGGAGGAGAGGGAGGCCAGCGAGAGAGGGGAACAGCCAGGGGACAGGGTCCAAACCAACGGGAAAGAGTCCCGTTCAGACAGCCTCATGTCTCAGCCCTCTCCACCCCCCTCTCCCAAACACACCCCCTCCCCCAGCCTCCGTACCACCTCCACACGCTCCCCCTACACCTCCCAATCCCCCCGCGTCGGCCACCGCAGGCAGGTAGCCCACCAGTCCTCTCTGTCGGACCCCCCCTCCAACTACGATGAGGTCTCAGACCTGGGCACCATGAACAGCACCAGCTCCCAGGCATCTGTGACGGGACCCAGGGTGAGGCATGGCAGGACGGGGGCCCTGGGACCAGAGACTGGAGCCAGTGGCCTGGGGGCCGAGGTCAGCTCCATCACCTCAGACTACTCCACCACCTCCTCCATGACCTTCCTCACCGGGGCCGAGCTGAGCACGCTCAGTCCAGAGGTACGCTCGGTGGCCGAGAGCAGGGGAGGAGATGACGCTGATGATGAGTGTAGTGAGCTGATTAGTGAGGGCCGGCCCATGGAGACAGACAGCGAGAGCGACCTATCGTTGTTTATTGGGAGTGTGAAGGAGACCCGGCCGGTGAAAGATATCTGCCAATCAGACGTGCCGGACGCGCCCAGGCCCCTTCCCTCCCACAGACTCATCGAGTGTGATACTCTCTCCAGGAAGAAGTCTGCAGCGCGTCAGAAGACTGACAGCGATTCCTCGTTGGACGGAGGGCAGAGCGACAAGGATTCCAATAGGCTGTCTCGCGTTCTGGGGGCAGTTAAGGGGCTTTCCACCAGCAGCCTTAGCTCCTCCTCCCGCAGCGAGTCAGAGAAGGGGACTGAGCCTGCATGGCGTCTCAAGATCACAGACCGGCTGAAGTTCCGTCTGCGGACGTCTGTAGACGACATGTTCGGGGTGGGCACTCAGCAGAGCCGCTCTCCAGAGGGACGCAGGGACAAGAAGAAGAACATCAGACGCCGACACACCATGGGAGGCCAGAGGGACTTTGCTGAGCTGTCTGTGATGGGGGACTGGCAGGGGGGCATTGGGATGGGCGGGGGCTCGCGGACGGAGCTGTCGGCCGTGGACCGGCTGAAGCCAAAGTGTTCTTCCCAGGACTTCTCCATCCGGGAGTGGATTGCCCGCGAGCGCCACCGCACCTCCAACCCCGAGGTCAGCCTGGACTTCTCTGAACACCATGGGGCACTGCTCCTCCTACGCAAACCCGACCCCCAGAACCCTGACCACCCTCAGGCCCAGGAGGCTCCGTCGTCATCCCCCTCAGACCCCTTCTCACCACACCCAACTCCAGCTGAGCTGCTGAATGGAGACGCAGGTCCCCAGAGTAAAAGCCTGAACCTGTCGGCCACTGCACACCCACACAAACTCTCTGGTGCTCAGGTGGTCCACTCTCGCTTCTACCAGTACCTGTGAGAGGTGGTGTCTGTCTGGATGGGAGTGTGTCTGTCTGTCTTTCTGTGTGTGAGATGTGTTTGAGAGTCTATGAGTGTATCTGAGTGATGTTTTGTAAATGACCAGTGAGCATGTACAGGTACTGTGAAGTGACGTCGGAGTGTGTTTACGTAGAGTCTGTTAGGTGGTGTGTGTGTGTACGCTTAAAATAATAAGGGTTACTGCACAGGGGTGGTTTGTCTGACTCAGACACAACAAGGCATGGAACAAAACATTAAATTGATGTTGATACATTTTCTATTTTTTCATGACAAATTACAGACTTTGGGATGGGCGTTGGGGTAGAGAAATTCTCACTCCTAACAGAAATCCCTGCTATGCTGAAGATTGCAACTCGAGGGCCTCTTGCTCATGGATGAACTGATGAGTCTGAAAGTTGATTGGTGTAAGGAAGTGTAAACATAGCTTGTTTCAAGTTAAAGATTGTGAAAATACAGTAACTGATGGTTAGGAGGTAGGCTACAGTAGTGAAAAGGGACCGATTTTAAAAGTATTGCAGAGGAACTATTTTTGTTGTAAGAGGGTCTCGGTTGATTCAAAGTGAGTCCTTCAGTAACCAAATGAAGAATGTACGACGTGCTTGCTGTAATACTGACTAAAGCTTTATTTGCTTGTGTTCTCATTTTAAATTGTACATATCCCCCTTCCTCTCGCTCTCTCTACTTGAAGTGTTTTTATTTTCGAGATAGCCTGTTTTGGACTGCCATATGTCCTCTGTGACCACCGAGTGACGTCTTTCAAGGTGCATTGTGACAAGACACTGGACTAACGACATCATGAAAATACAAAAGTAACTGTTTTTATTCCACCCTTAAGAAAAAAGCAGTGAACTGCTTCCCTCTGATTCAATATGCTGTGTATTTGTTGATGTGCTTGTGGTTTCATGCTTCTGTCAGTTACGGGCATCAGACTGAGGGAGGGATCAAGAGGGAGAAGATTTCTGATTTGATTATTCATGTTTCTTTCGCAATAGGAAGTGCCTCATAATGAAATGTAAAGGGTGCCATATCGTCTTTGTTGAGATACGTAAAGATTTTACTGTGAATGACATTTTTATCATCGACTCAGTCATTCTACGTGTTCTATCTTAGAGGAACGCCGAGCTTCCATTCCTTAGGCATTCCACTCTGGTCTTCACATGTTTTATACTTTGGGTTTTACTTTTATTATATTTTGAATTAACAGAACTTGAATTTTAAATATTTCTGTATAAAATAGTAACGTGTGTGTATATAAATGCCATGTTTTAGCTGCCTTTTCTGTTTCATTTCCATCAAATTGGCAGATTTTTTTAAAAGTAAAAAGTACAGTATTGTGAGATGTTGCTGATGGTAGGGTGGGTATTAGATTACAGACTGGTGATAGTCCAGTGGTTCTCTAGGGAGCGATGAGAGATTCCTCCCTGCATGTGAAAAGGCTTCATTGAGCTGTTTGTATCATTATGGCGTGTTCTCTCCATGAGTGGAGGGGGCATGGGCTCCTAAAACACTGGAAATAAATCTTATCAATGGCTAAAAGGACACGGCTGGTGTTTTAGAATCTACTGCACTACCTTCCCTTGTTAGTTATACAACACTCTTTAGCAGGAACTATCATGCCCTAATGTCTACCTCTATCATAACTCCTACCACTCACAAGCAACATCAGTTAACTTCCTTCTTTAGCTGTGCCCCTCTTGAACACTGAAGGGCAGTGTCCAATGAAAACAAAGCCACCAAGAACAAAATCTACAAGTACATTTGAAAATGCTTTATGTACTAGTCACCCACAGTTATTTTGTAAAACAGCTGACAATACTAACAGAAGTGAGGTCATGGGGACAGACGGTCAAGCCATTGAACACTTCATTTTAAATGAGCTGACAAAGAACCAAACATTAATTCGTCAAAAAAAACAATTATAAAACCTTTGTAGTAACAACAGCCAGAACTTTCAGGTTTGTGTCTATTATACAAGCATAATAGTACACATAATGGGAGTTATAAATTCACATTACATTTTCAACCATATGGACTGGTCTGATAGCAATGATTCAAGTCAATTATGTCCCATGTACAATTTACCAATCTTGCTTAGATGAAAGGTTACTGATCTGTTATAAAAGTGTTATAGTCCTTGACATGAATGTTTACCCCCAGTAGTAAGGCACAGTGACTAAGCGCTCGATTCAATCAGTAGCGCTGAAGAACCTGCGCTACAGGGCGATAGGAATTTTAAAGCAATGTTCCTGCATTCAGAAATTACCTTTACATTTCAAACTACAGCAAAGATCTTCGGTGCTAAGGATTGAATTGTGCCCTAACATAACACTAGAGCGTCACTCCAAATGACAGGAGTGAAAAAAATTGATCGTAATGATCCCAAAGTTAAAGTAACATTGTGCCCTCACTCATTTGGAAAGGAAATCATTGGCCGATGTGACCACCATACATTAACTCAAAGCCACAGTACTTACTGAAAGACATATTCAACATTACAAACAGCAATTAAGAGAAACAAATGGTTCTTTGTACTGCTGTTTTAACATCAGAATCATGGACACAAACTCTGGTGGATGTTGACTCATCTATAGTGACGATACCAACAACAGGAAGCTCCTATGTCCCCTCCATGTTCACCGCAATGAAATTGATGATGCTCGTAGGGGATATTTTGTGCTGTAAAGCCCTCTATAGACTTACTTGTGTGTGGTGGGAGAGGAAATGCATCCCTCAATGGATGCTGGTCGGAGTAGTGGTTCACTACTTCAGCTGTCCACAAGGGGGGTTACTAGAGGGTTCTTCAGTGACCAGATTATTTGGTCCAAAAAAAGAACAAATAACTTGTTCACTGCTAAGACTATTTTTTTTACCACTGTCAACAACGTCCATGACGTTGGTACATGCTCTAAAGAGGAGCCCAAATTATACAGAGGGTGGAGTAGGTTGGCCTGGTCCTAGATCTGTCTTGCCAATGCCAACTCTAAATGAGCATTGTCACAGCTGACCATCAGAGTTGGCAAGACAGCACAAACAGATCTGGGCCGGGGTGGGGGTAATGAGTTGAGAAAGATTTGTTGCATATTGTGCTGGAGTGTTAACCACGTGTCAGCTGGGTTAACCATCTCCCTCATCCTTCTTGTCCTCGCTCGGTAAGTCCGGCAGTCGGAAACACTCCTCAAAGAAGTTAACCAGTGATTGGCTCAGGTGTTGCCGTGTGCCATCGCTATGCAGGAAGTGTCCCTCGTCTGGGTAGATCTACAGTACAGAGACATTACAAAATAAAAGACATGTAGGTAGGTAACACAATATTTGATACACTGCTCATAACGCCTTCATGACAATGTCCTAAACATGTTGTAAAGCTAAAGTCTCAAGATGTCAAGCTTACCTGTAGAGAGTAATTTGCCTTCTCGTTGATTAAATGGTTGATGAATTTTGCAGAGTGCTGGAAATGGACTTTCTCTTTAGGGAGGGAGAGAGGGTAACATGGCATGTAAGATGCGTATATTCTGTCACAGTACTTCAACAACATTCAGCCTCAAAGTTAATCAGTTAAGACTGCTTTGACAGTAACTTAGCCAATGCCCAAATAGAAGTTGGCAAGACCACACAAACAGATAGATCTAGGAAAGGCTAAAGTATTGATATTAATGACTGTACCATCAGCAGTTGGATGGATGATCATGTACTTCCTGTTCATGAGGTGAGCTGCCCGGTGTGCTAAACTTGCCAGCTGAAGGAAAGAGGACAGCGAACGGCAGCATGAAATACAAATAATTGTATATATTGTCTGACTAGTGGATGAAGTGTTGAATCTTTACCGAGTATACTCGAGAGTCTGTCTTTGGTGATCCAAGGTATCTCTCTGAAAATGCTGAAGCTGGTGTATAAAGAAGGAACACACATAATATAATGTTATAAGGCACTGTTCAAACTATAATACATCGTTTGTAGTGAGAAATGATTCATGCAGCAAAAAATTATGTTGCAAAAGAAAATCATTACATTATACCGTATAACTTGAAATCTGTGATGGGCGAGACGGCGGCTCCACATTTAAGCAAGGAGTCTTCAGAACTTAAAAGCATGGTGGCTAAATATCCTCCATAAACCTATAGACAGATAAGGTACAGTTAGTGAGGGACACTTAATAGTATCATGTTTCTTGATCAGACAGTATAAAAATACATTGTTGACATATCAAGGCTAGAGCATTTACATACACCACTCCAACGTTAATTTCTGCCCAATCCAAGGACAAACTGCATACAAATTCTAACTTTCTATAGACAAATGAGAACTGAGTGCCAGACTGAAACCTGATTGAAATATTGATGTTGTCCGTTCTGTGTTGTTGCTGGACCGTAGTGTGTAGTTGCTCTCGTAGTTATGAATCCCAAATGGCACCCTATTCCTTTTATAGTGCAACAGAGCAGAAGCTCACCCCCTCATATCGAGGTAGCATACCAAATGGCACCATATTCCCTATATAATGGACTACTTTTGATCAGAGCACTATGGGCTTTGGTCAAAAGTAGTCCACTATATAGGGAATATGGTGCCATTTGGCATGCAACCTAGATATGTGGGGGTGAGCTTCTCCTCTATGTTCCAGACAGAGTGAAGCCCTCGCCCACTCTTTCGTCAGCTCAGATACAGTACTTGAATTGACAAGAAGAGGAGTAAAGGGAACCGAATGACCTTTTTTACATGGTTTAAAAAAGCAGCTAGCTTGTTTTCTTCAAGCATTGATTCTCCTTACCTTTCCATATACTCCAATTCGACTTTTGTCGATGTACATTTCTTTCGATATCAGTCTGGAAAAAGAAGAATAAACAATCCGTTTTGTAGGTATTACATTTCCAACAACCCAGTAATGTACTATAATGAAAATATTTATAATTTTTCCCATTGTAATTCAACTGTACCTGCATATAACTACTGTAAGACGTAGTAACATGGTGTTAGCATATTATCGTAAAGGGGACCAATTATTTGAATTCTCAAGGAAGATTATGCTGTGTCCAGGTGTTCTCTCTCCCTTTTTCTCACCTGAGGGCCTCCATCTGGTCCCTCTCCTCGATTACGCCCAACTTCCTCCTGATGCGGTGGAGGAGGTTGGTGCCCTGGAACCCAGACCCGTGGCCGTCAAAGCGGATCACAATGGTACTGTAACTGCTCACCAACACCGTGGCCCAGTCCACACGGAACTGCTCTGTCACCATCTGTCCGCCTGGAGTTCCGTCCCTGATGGAAACAGAGGACAGGCGGAACCAATGATCCATTATAGCTCTGTAACTGTCCGAAGTCATGAGTCCAATGTCAAAACAGAATATGTTATAATTCTAATATAATTTCTACTGGGGTTTGTATGATGTTTTTATCTAGAATAACATAGTAACTGTATTGTGTGTGTGTGTGTGTGTGCCACACTTACACTAGTAGCAGGAGGGGGTAGTGAGCTGTGTCTATGAAACCAGCTGGCTTCAGTATCTGCATCGTCAGAGCTGCAAGAAAGAAAGACTTAATGAAATGTTGTTTTTCTTAAATTATCATATCAAATCTCATAACTAATACCATTGTTAGAGTGCAGCCCAGTAGTGCATATCAGCATTTATGAAGACGTTATACAACGGGTGGGTCTAATCCTGAATGCTGATTGGTTAAAAGCGCATTCCAGCCGGTGTCCATTCCACAAGTTACCACCGGCTAAAGCTATGACGTTAAAATGCCTATTTATCCTGTTCCATCTGACTGCGCAATCCACTGTCATCAGCCCAGCCAGGCAATTTATAAACTTGATCTCCACTATAAAAAGCATCTAGACATTATCTCACATTTCTTTGAGACTAACATTTAGTTTTCAACAGCGGAGATTTGTATAAACCTTGCTGTCTGTCTCTCCGACATTTGCAACATTGTTTCAATATTCAGATTCGATCTCCAGCTGTCGCATTGTAATGAACGTGTCGGGATGAGACAGGTAGGCAGCTTTTCTCTGCCAGTTGAAATCATGAATCAGCATCATTTTTATGGATATATACAAAGACATATCAATAGAAAACAGGTCAAATGAAACGAAGTGCAGCTAGTTTGTAGTCTTTCCAGCTTCAGTTTGAAGTGATTGTGTTAGCTGGGTTGTTGGCTAGCTCCTCTGAACAACAGTGTCCTGACGAAAGAGTACATTTTCTATGCCAGGTGAAATCGTGCATCATTAGCTCATTGTTATGGATGTATCCAAGTAAATGTCACTAGAAAACAGCTTATGAAAATGCAGCTACTTTGTTGTTATTCTGGCTTCACTGTTTGACGTGACTGTAAGTTAGCCATAGTTGGCTAGCTAGCAATCAAGGGATAAGAACGTTGCCAGCCAATATGGCAATAGAACATTTAGAACAAACGACTGGGTCGCGTCTCTGGCAACCGAACCGATAGAACCAATGACCAGCCGGCTTGGGTAGTAACCCTAGATTTGTGTCAGGACTATATCTTGTGGAAGGATGAAATAGTATGAATAAAGTAATCAGTATAAAGTTAATGAAAATATGTAAATCATTATTTGAATATGTTGGTAACCCGTTGTGTCAATATATCCTCCAAACCGGCTTCTAGGGCATTATCACTTAAATAACACACACATCTAGCCAATACCCTTTCCAGCTGCATTTCTTATGATGACATGAAATCTGATATACACTAACCAGCCAGTTTCACAAAAATGGATCGCTCCTACAGACAGTAAGTCACGTGGCCATGGCTTGCTATATAAAGCAGGGACACAGGCATCGAGGCATTCAGTTACTGTTCGAGTCAACGTTAGAATGGGCAAAACAAGTTATCTAAGCGACTTTGAGCATGGTATGATCATCGGTGCCAGGCACGCCGGATCCAGTATCTCAGAGACGGCCGCCCTCCTGGACCTTTCACGCACGACAGTCACTAGGGTTTCCCGAGAATGGTGCGACAAACAAAAAACATCCAGTCAGCGGCAGTCCTGTGTCGGAAACAACTCGTTGACGAGAGAGGTCGATGGAGAATTGCAAGAATCGTGCAAGCTAACAGGCGGGCCACAAACAGACAAGGAACAGCGCAGTACAACAGTGGTGTGCAGACGGCATCTCGGAACGCACAACTCGTCCGTCCTTGTCACGGATGGGCTATTGCAACAGACGACCACACCGGGTTCCACTACTATCAGCTAAAAACAAGAAGAAGCGGCTCCAGTGGGCACGTGATCGCCAACACTGGACAATTGAGTTGTGGAAAAACATTGTCTGGTCCAACGAATCCCAGTTCCTGTTGCGTCATGCTGATGGCAGAGTCAGGATTTGCCGTATGCAGCATGAATCCATGGATTCATCCTGCCTGTTGTCAAAGGTACAGGTTGGTGGCGGTTGTGTACCGCGGTCCAATCTGCAGCAACTGCCTGATGCCATCACGTCAGCATAGACCAACATCCCTGTGGAATGTTTCCGACTTGTAGAATCCATACACCCAAAAATTCAGGCTGTTCTGGAGGCAAAGGGGGGTCCGATCCAGTACTAGATGTGTGTCCCTAATAAACTGGCCAGTGAGTGTATATGATGACATATATAATGTAATCATAAAGAATGCAGCTGAAAAGGGCATTGGCTAGCTTCCTATGCATAGGTGCACCATGGAGGGATACCTACTGTAATCGTCTATGGTGATGGTCTCGTACTCCACTTTGGGCATCTGCATGTTGTGGTATGTGTTATTCACTCTCTGGTTCGTCTCCAGGTCCAGGACCTCTGCAGTGGCATGGAAGAAACAGTCTCATTGTTCACTTCCAGTATGGTCTGAGGGGCAGCTTCATGAAGCATCAAACATTTCCCATTGAATGATTTGTGTGATGGGATATTAAAGACACGATACTGAATAAAATCGTCAGCTTCAGTGCCCTTTATGGTACAGGGTTAGGCCTCATAACACTCACTCTGTCTGTCTTTGGTGCTGTAGATGGCAACACTGGGTACATCGGGGCCTGGATGGGGACAGAGAGAGAGAGAGAGGTGGAGGTTGTAGGTTTTTATAGGAAGAAACACTTGAAGGTTCATATGAATGGCCTCAAATGGCAAACAAAATACAAATTTCACTGTATTTAAAAACCAGAGATCATAAAAAAAATGCCTCTCTCTCTCTTACCATCTTTAGTAATGCAAGTCTAGAAATAACCCCTCTCAGCCAGCCATGTGTCATTACTGAGAAGCCACTGTCTGTCTGTAGCACCTTGGGGAGCAGCTGAATGAATACCAGGCTGTTATTATTGCTCAGTACAGACCAGGGCTGCTCTCCACTCACAAGATCTAATTCATGAAAAGGTTGTTGCCCTTTCTCCTCTCCAGAGCGGGCCCTCTAAACAAATCAGCTGCCATGGCAACTGCACCGGTTGGAGAGATAACGATGATGAATGTTCTCAGAGAGAATGAGAACACAGACATAAAAAAGGCCATGCAGCGCTGAGCCCATCCTAATCTGTCCCTCCCTGGGCCCTGCTCTCATTTCAGACAGAACCTGTCTGACACACAGGAAGCAGGGTAGGACATACAGCTCTATGCCAACTACTGTAGTTTGATACAGCAGGAACACTGTAGGATGCAGGATGGCAGTTCACATTTCGTGGCAAGGGGCTTGAGTTACGTCTGATTGCAAGTAGAAACAGTGGTTAATGGTGTACTGCAGTCAGATTCAATGCAACATTTTGCCACAGCATTGAACACTAATTCTATTTAATATTTTGACTGAGCGTTTTGACTAACTCTGTATTTGAAACTAAACACCCCACTAAAACCTCAGCAGCATAGCGAAATAATCTACTGTCACAAAAATCTACTGATTCAGGAAAGTGCAACATATGCTGCTTAGTGTTCAGGATTCAAGGTCAGGAGCACTCACCTTTACAGTTGAGCAGGAAGTACTGCATGTTGTGGCTGAAGGAGCCGTCCACATAGCCACACTTGAACTCACACGACAGACAGCGGCGGTTGAACGGGCCTTTAGTGTCCGCACTGACATAGGATAGATGAAGTAAACCACGCTATTAGCATTACACCCTATTAGATCAAAACAATTACATAGTGATCGCTCACAGAATAAACCCTTAGAGAGCTGAATCGAGAAATCTAATTATACCTGTAGAGGTGTCGTCGTTTTGGATCATCCTCTGTGCTCAAAAAGTATCTGTAAAACATTGTGATGAAGATCAGTTTGGAGTTCAATGACTATTACCTGAACAAGAGAAGGTAAGTCAAATTTCCATGGTAACATTTGATCAACTATAAGTGACAGGAAATTATATGCATTTGGAAATCATAAATGGTACTATTTGGTAATGTTCCTGTAATGTATGAGTGGAGAGACTTACATGAGCTGCCTGTCTTGGCTGTAGGCCAGTATCTGAGTAACATCCCAGTCGCCTGATGTCAGGGACTGCAGAGTGTCTGTGCTGGTGTTGGGCTGGAATGGAACAATACATGGCAACTACAGGTTAAAGAACAGTTGGCTACTACACAGAGCACATACATAACTCCAGGAAGGAGGACAGTGTTGTTCTACCTGGGATGTTGACATGGAGATATGGAAGAACTTGCCCCTCCCACCCTGAGGTATAGCTCTGGTAAAGAAGAACTTGTATCCATCATGGGAGAAGAGTGGTGCTTCGTTCTACAGTAGCGAAAGAAAAGAGGAGTGAGTCTGAGTATATGAGAACGCTAAATCTGTAAACTGCATTTATGTCCCTCCTACCACATCCCTTTCTTCTGTAAGTGTTGACTGTAATGTATGGGCTGTTTTCTATGTGTGTTGTGAGTGATACATTTTATAAAATGCTTTTACTGTTCTTATGACTTACCTGTTTGTGTAGCCAGCTATCACTTTCATCCTCATGTTTCTGGAAAAGTATGAGATAGCAAGTTAGGGGCCAGTGTCAGAGAGGGTGGCGGTGTGTGCATGCATGCGTGTTTGTGTGTGTTCTTGTGTGTGTGTGTGTGTGTGTGTGTGTGCGTAAGTTTCACCTTAGTGCAGACTCCTGTGGTGGCCTCACACAGTGTCAGTATGGAGTTGTTCTGTGCTCTGTTCAGCCAGTTGACTGCCACCTTGGTGCTGGTGGCCCACTTCACCATTGTGATGTAATATTCCATTCTACAAAAAGAACAAAATGAAATGAGTTACAAGTTCAATGTCCAGTAAATTCATTTCCTATTATTTCAGAATTGACATGGCTAATGCAGTATACATTATGATGCAAGGTTATTCCATGATGTTGAGTGCTCCCACAAACACTAATATTCATACTGAAAGGTGACAATATTTAATTGAAAGTTTGCATCTATGCTATGGCAGGGTTCCCCAACTGATGGCCCGCAGGCCAAATTTGGCCAGCAGGTGATTTTATATGCACCCCCCTCAAGTTTTCTGAGGAAAAAAATTAAATAATATACAGTACCAGTCAAATGTTTGGACACACCTACTCATTCAAGGGTTTTTCTTTATTTTTACTATTTTCTACATTGTAGAATAATAGTGAAGACATCAAAACTATGAAATAACACATATGAAATCATGTAGTAACCAAAAAAGTGTTCAACAAATCAAAATATATTTTATATTTGAGATTCTTCAAAGTAGCCACCCTTTGCCTTGATGACAGCTTTGCACACTCTTGGTATTCTTTCAACCAGCTTTTCCAACGCATAATAGAGAGATACTGTATATTTGATAGTATACAAATGTAAGCAAGGTTTGAAATGATTATGTTTTAGTCAAATGTTATATCTGGGCTTCTTGCGGTCAATTTGCAGTCTACAAATTATTTTGTTCCGGCCCCTGACCATCCGCTCAAGAACGAAATCGGCCCGCCGCTGAATCTAGTTGATGATCCCTGCCCTATGGATAATAAAGATTATCTTGAACCGTGTAACTGTGTCATTCAGTCAGTGAGACACTCACCCTATCCTGGGGTCGTCTGGTTTCTTCATCTCCACCGTGTGAAGGGGGCCATTCAAACTCACCACAGACAGGTGTACTACAGGGTTCTCCTCCCCAGCCTCCAGGGGAAAAGACAGGTTATGCCAGAGATCATATAATTCAGTGGGTTATACAGTATCTATATGGAACCTTTTTGTCTGTGTGAAGTCAACTGTCAGATCCACACACAACTCTGTAGAAGAGTTGATCCCTTTTCTGTTCCGACCTGGGTTTGAACCAGAGACGATCTGCACAACAACAATTGGTACTCAATTCAATACCACTAACTCAAAAAAGGTCAGGGCAGTGTAGGGCAGAGAGGACAGAGAATATAGACATGAGGCTGTCTCTGGGATTTACCTTGGGGTAATGATACTCCAGCCCTGTTGGATACGGGGCGCCAGTGAAAATGGGTACCTCCATCTTGGGCACCAGGGTGTCGTTGATGGTGGCGTAGGCCAGTCTGAGGCCATCTGGAGACCACCAATGGGCTATGTGGGTCTGAAGGATCTCCTCTGGAACAACAAACCCCATAAACAATGAACTACTGTATAACACTGTATAAAAAATATGGTGATAAATAATGTCCATTCATCTTCAAGGCAGGCTTTAAGGCTATAAGGTTACAAGATAGTTATAAGATTAATAATAAAGCTAATAGTCTGTTGTTTACTGATACGATGTATACTGAACAAAAATATAAACGCAACATGCAACAATTTCAAAGATTTTACTGAGTTACAGTTCATTTAAGGAAATCAGTCAATTTAAATGGTGAGTATGCAGGCCATGGAAGAACTGGGACATTTCCAAATTCCAGGAATTGTGTACAGATCCTTACAACATGGGGCCGTGCATTGGGCCTCAGGTTCTCATCACGGTATCTCTGTGCATTCAAATTGCCATCAATAAAATGCAATTGTGTTCATTGTCCGTAGCTTATGCCTGCCCATACCATTACGCCACCGCCGCCATGGTGCAATCTGGTGTTGACATCAGCAAACCGCTCGCTCACACGACGCCATACATGCTGTCTGCCTTCTGCCCGGTACAGTTGAAACCGGGACTCATCCGTGAAGAGCACACTTCTCCAGCGTGCCAGTGGCCATCAAAGGTGAGTATTTGCCCACTGAAGTCGGTTACGACGCCGAACTGCAGTCAGGTCAAGACCCTGGTGAGGACGACCAGCACGCAGATGAGCTTCCCTGAGACGGTTTCTGACAGTTTGTGCAGAAATTATTAGGTTGCGCAAACCCACAGTTTCATCAGCTGTCCGGGTGGCTGATCTCAGACGATCCTGCAGGTGAAGGAGCCGGATGTGGAGGCCCTGAGCTGGCGTGGTTACACGTGGTCTGCAGTTGTGAGGCCGGTTGGACATGCTGCCAAATTCTCTAAAACGACGTTGGAGGCAGCTTATGGTAGAGAAATTAACATTAAATTATCTGACAACAGCTCTGGTGGACATTCCTGCAGTCAGCATGCCAATTGCACCCTCCCTCAAAACTTGAGACATCTGTGGCATTGTGTTGTGTGACAAAACTGCACATATTAGAGTGGCCTTTTATTGTCCCCAGCACAAGGTTCACCTGTGTAATGATCATGCTGTTTAATCAGCTTCTTGATATGTCACATCTGTCAGGTGGATGGATTATCTTTGCAAATGTAAACAAATTTGTGCTCAACCTTTTAGAGAAATATGCTTTTTGTGCATATGGAACATTTCTGGGATCATTTATTTCAGCTCATGAAACATGGGACCAACAATTTACATGTTTGATTTATATTTTTGTTAAGTATATATGTCATCATATCCCAAAGTCACTTCATTAGCTGTGTGTGCTGATAAAGGATATTTCCTCCACACAACACTGTGTAAACAGATGCTGATGTAGCAGATGTGCTGTGGCCTGTCTGATTTATGGCACCCATTTACTGTACTGTCACTGGAGTAGAGGTCCATTACTCATTGCTATTTATGAAATATGTTGCAGGGTTACAGACAGAGATACAGAGGCAGGTAGAATATCAGATTATGTTCTGGGTCAACTTATTTATCATTCATCAGGTGTGGAGAGTGCATGTCAAAATGTCATTTGAAAACAGAGGTAAAGAAAAGGACAAGATAAGTAATTAAATGAATGCAGTTATATGCCCCAGTCAAATATAATCCACAAAAGCCCACCAGGTGGCAGCATAGACCTTCCAGGAAGGCTTCCTATTAAAGAAACGTCACAAACAGCAGTCTTCCCCTGAGACTAACACAAAATGACTCAACTTCAGTTGACAGAGAATGAGGATGGTCTATGAAGAACGATGAAGACCAGCATACAGAGATTGTGAGAGCGGTGAATGATGGGTATATTGGACAAACATGTTGAGTTATCGTTCTAGGGATGAGATATGGATGATAAAATAACTGAATGAATGCTCTCAAGGACATTGTTCAACATAATCTACAGTACAGTATGACAGCATACATCCCACACATTCTATTGATGCATATCAAAATACCATCTGTATGAGGAGTCAAAGCAGGGTATAGGTGATCTGAAAGAGCTGTGCTCTCTGCTGACCCACTGAGAATCAATGGGAGGAAATACGGCTGAAACTGGCCTGGCATGGCATGGCAGAGCTTTGGTGAAGGAGTTCTGAGGTCAGTGGGTCGGATTACTTACTGTATATCAGTGTCAGTGTGGTCATGGTGACAGCAAGAGGACCATGACCCAGATCTCCACAGCCCTCAGGGAGACACAGATAGACTACTAGAAAAATGTCCATATATGTTTTCTTTCAGGTTGTGTAGATAAGTAGGGGAAAAAATCAAAGTCAATCCCTTTTTTTACATTTATTTTTAAGGCAGCAAAATCTGAAAACTGTGCAAGGGGTGTGTACAGGGCTCTAAATTGAAAAATTAATTGAGATGCAGCCTATATTGGGCCTATATGAATTCTAGCTACTTTTGAAGCACATGTTGTGCCCGTGAAACTAATATGTAACACTGTAAAGACATTAGTTTATTATAAAAGCTAAAATGTTAATACGAATACCTGTCATTGTGTGTGTAGACTTTCACTAGGCACTGTATATACTGAATGTGAAAATACAGTATTATGCTTACTATGCACAGTAGCCTAAGGCCCATCAAAGGAAGTGTTACTCCGATCCAGTGCAAACATCTCCACATCATCACCACTCAATAACACACTTCCGATTCCAATACATAACCCCATAGACAGACAGACAGCTTCTCGTTTCCTGTCGCGACACATCTGCAGTGATAAATCGGCACTGGGGTGTTGTAAAGAGATCCACGCCCTGCGCTGTGGGTTTTGTGTGACACTCTCTCTGCTCTGCATGACAATCACTCCTGTCCTGCCTGGCTGGAAGATAAACCTGTCTCACTACTATACTACACCACCCTCACCCTCACACCAAGCATTCTGCTCTGGTAAGACAGGGAGAGGGACACACACGCACACACACACACACCAGTCTGATGAAATTGCTCTGAGATTTTATTTTACTTTATTTATTTAATCTTTATTTTAGCAGGGAGTCCCATTGAGACCAAGGCCTCTTTTTCAAGGGAGCCCTGCATGAAGACATTTTATAAAATGTACAACATTCAAACATAAATCAGGTCCTGCAGTTCAAGAGTCACTGTATAACACTGTTGGCAGGTAAATACTATGCAACTACATTACATGGCCAAAAGTATGTGGACTGCTGGTCGAACATCTCATTCCAAAATCATGGGCATTAATATGGAGTTGGTCCCCCCTTTCCTGCCATAACAGCTTCCACTCTTCTGGGAAGGCTTTCCACTAGATGTTGGAACATTGCTGCAGGGACTTGCTTCCATTCAGCCACAAGAGCATTAGTGAGGTAAGGCAGTTCGGCACTGATATTGGGGGCGATTAGGCATGGTTAGCAGTCAGTGTTCCAATTCATCCCAAAGGTGTTTGATGGAGTCGAGGTTGGCTCTGTGCAGGCCAGTCAAGTCTTCCACACCAATCTCAACAAACCATTTCTGTATGGACCTCGTTTTGTGCACGGGTGCATTGTCATGCTGAAACAGGAAAGGGCCTTCCCCAAACTGTTGCCACAAAGTTGGAAGCACAGAATCGTCTAGAATGTAATTGTATGCTGTAGCGTTAAGATTTCCCTTCACTGGAACTAAGGGACCTAGCCCGAACCATGAAAAACTGCCACAGACCATTATTCCTCCTCCACCAAACTTTACAGTTGGCACAATGCATTCAGGCAGGTAGCGTTCTCCTGGCATCCGCCAAACCCACATTCGTCCGTCGGACTGCCAGATGGTGAAGCGTGATTCATCACTCCAGAGAACACGTTTCCACTGCTCCAGAGTCTATGGCGGCGAGCTTTACATCACTCCAGCCGACGCTAGGCATTGCGCATGGTGATCTTAGGCTTGTGTGCGGCTGCTTGGCCATGGAAACCCATTTCATTAAGCTCCCGACAAACAGTTATTGTGCTGACGTTGCTTCCAGAGGCAGTTTGGAAATCGGTAGTGAGTGTTGCAACCGAGGAAAGACGATGTTTACGCGCTACGCGCATCAGCACTCGCCGATCCCGTTCTGTGAGCTTGTGTGGCCTACCACTTCGCAGCTGAGCCGTTGTTGCTCCTAGATATTTCCACTTAAGTGATAACGCCAGAGAAGCCAGTGTTTGGAGGATATATTGGCACAGGTGTTGTTAGGCCCAAGACAAAGTCGAGGGCCGGCAAACCGTGCCAATATATCCTCCAAACACCGGCTTCGAGGGCATTATCACTTTTATACAACGGGTACATATTGTCATTAAAATCGTTATTTTGATTAATTTATTCATACTATTTCATCCTTCCACAAGATATAGTCCCGACACAAATCTAGGGTTGCTACCCAAGCCAGCTGGTCGTTCGTTCTATCCTAGAGATATTTACACGGTTATCAAAACATCACGCCAGGATAAGCCTACACGAAACACAGCCCTAATGTGTTTCTAAAATCCCCTATGGGAAAAATGAATGGTGGAAAAACGATTGGAACCATTTCTCTGTTTGACCTTTTTTATGGGTATTATGACTCATACTGTGGTACTCTATGGGCCTACATAGTGATAGAGTGACCTTAGGGTATACAAGTATGAAAATGAAAATGTATGCACTCACTAACTGTAAGTCGCTCTGGATAAGAGCGTCTGCTAAATGACTAAACATTTTATATGTAAGTGTGTTATAATGATTTAATAATACTCTCAAAAACTGATTTGGGATCAAGAATGCCCTGTGGTTGAACTGCAGTGACTAGTAGAGAGAGGAGGTACTACCTTCACCTTAAACCTAAGCTTGCTGTTATGAAACTCAGTCAAAACACTATAAAAATACACATCCCATCCAGTAATCCAGTTATATAAGGGGTTACATCGAAAGTTTTAAAACCATCAGCCAGCCAACAAAACAAATCAATGAGGGGGAACAATTTTAATAAAATGAATGAAAAAATGAATACAGTAGACAGATCTGTAGATAGCTCACATACAATATTGAGCAGGAAATGTTTCATATCACATTACAAATGGAGGTACAGTAGTAGTGCGATTGCAGCCATGAATTAATGAATACTGCCTAAACACAGAAAAGCTAGGGGAGCTCTGGGGACAACGATAGTGAAATGCAACCAGATGTTTCTCTTTAAAAGGGAATAATTTACAAACACAAGCCATAGATAGCCTTCTGTCTCGGAGGAGAGGGAAAAACTGATCTTAAAAACGGCAGGTAGCCTAGCGGTTAAGAGCTTTGGGGCAGTAACCAAAAGGTCACTGGTTCGAATCCCTGAGCTGAATAGGTGAAAATGTGTCGATGTGCCCTTGAGCAAGGCACTTAACCCTAATTGCTCCTGTAAGTCGCTCTGGATAAGAGCGTCTCCTAAATGACTAAAATGGAAACAAAATGGTCTCTAGGCACTGCATCGCAGTGCTAGCTGTGCCACTAGAGATCCTGGTTCGAATCCAGGCTCTGTCGTAGCCGGCCGTGACCGGGAGACCCATGGGGCGGCGCACAATTGGCCCAGCGTCGTCCAGGGTAGGGGAGGGAATGGCCGGCAGGGATGTAGCTCAGTTGGTAGAGCATGGCGTTTGCAACGCCAGGGTTGTGGGTTCGATTCCCAAGGGGGGCCAGTATGAAAAAATAAACTAAGTCGCTCTGGATAAGAGCGTCTGCTAAATGACTAAAAATGTAAAAATGTAAAATGTATTGTTCCTTATCCTTGTTTGAAACATGGTACAGAATAGATGGAGGACTTTCTTTGTCATTCCATGACCTGTGTTTCAATACTGCTGCAATACTGGGGTGTAACTAACAAGCGTTCTCTATCCAGCTAGTATTTGTAGTTCTGTTAGAGTAGCTGTATGCAGTAGTGATGGTGTATTTGTAGTTCTCCTACCTTCATACAGCCAGTCACTCAGGCCATTGAAGATGACTCCCTCCTTCCCTGTGGACACCAGGCGAATGGTCCTGCTCTCCACCGTTGCTCTGTAGTAGATGTTGTTCTCAAAGATAAAGATCTGGGTAAAAAAAGGACATGGCGCTGGGTTGACTACACCATCGTCCCATTACTGTCAGTATGGTACCTCCAAAATAACTGTTGGGTGCATTTCAGAGATTTTGCTTTTGCCTCTTGCCAGGCTTTCAAATGCGTTCTTTTCAGCTTGACACTATGGCTGCCTTATAATTACTAGATCAAAACAGAATTACTACCTTATAATACTAAAACAGTATTACCTTATAATGAATTACTAGATAAAGAAAAAAGACTGACACTCCTCCTGGGGAACTTTCATCAGTGTGACATTCACTCAGTTCTGAAAACACTCATCCATCCTTCAGCCTGGAGACATATCCACTCAACACAAAAAGACACATCAACACAATCTGGACTGAGTGACAAAACATGCCTTAAAGCATTGAATACAGCAGATATAAAAGGAAGCAGATTTCATAAGAGGTCATATTCCACTCTATCTCCAAATAGAGTAGTAAGCAAAACACCCCTCTGCTTCTAATGAAGGTACAGTAGCCGTCTGAATCACTGAAGGGGCACACACACACAACCATGCACACACACACACACACATTTTGGCTGATTGAGAACTGGTTCAGACAGGGGTGTCAGTGGGGAGGTTGGCATTACTGTGTTCAGCTGCTGATGCTGTGTTGGACTGCTGGTGTATGCCCACTGTGCCATAGTGAGTAGTAGGGATTAAGAAGACTACTGCTGGGGGGGTGAGTGTGTGGCACCACCACCAATCCACTGTCAATCCACTCTCCTCTCCTGTCCTGCAGCTTTACCCTGTGTCGGTGGGAGAGGTGGGAGCAGTTATATTTCTCTCTTCATTTTCTACACCCTTTGTACATGAGGCTCTAATGTGTGTGTGTGTGTGTGTGTGTGTGTGTGTGTGTGTGTGTGTGTGTGTGTGTGTGTGTGTGTGTTTGTGCTGTGGAACCAGGGGACAGAGAAGCATCCTGCTGTGATCAGTAAGCCATGGGCAATTACTCTACATGACAGAGCAATCAGCACCGCTGGATCCACACACACACGTTTTATATATGTAATGTCATATGATGGACAACTCTGACAATTGCGACAGGTTTTAATATGCAAAATCATTCCGTCCAGAAATGGGAGAAGAATAACTAACTGGTGTTATCAGGTGAGAGTAAACACATCGGCTCAGACAGTTCACCCATACAGCTCTTCATTAAACCAAACACGCAGATAAACATCAAAACAAAAATAAACCAATCCGGTACTATATTACCATATGCAAATATAACTGCTTTCTCCCTTGGCAGACGACGCAATCTCATATTGTACTAGCTTGAAATATTAATATTTTCTCCCTCTAAATGTGTCTGTAGCCTAATTTAGACAAATTATATGATAAGAGCAATTATGTAAAAACCAACAGATTTGCAGTAAAAGGTAAGTTAGTGGAGAAACACAAGGAAATACAGCCTATTACTGTTGTTCTGTAATTAGTCCAATCTGAAGTGCTGTGTGTTATGAGGTGAATGAGAAAGTGTGTACTAATGAGTGAAAACAACAAAGCTATTGTAGCTGTGAGAGACGCTGCTCTTTTTAGAAGATCTCTCCTTTCACACAATAACAACAAGACTGCTTCCTGTTTTAACCATAATAACAGCGTTTTGACATAATCTCCAACGTGGTGCTGTGGAGAAAGGGAAAGCATAGAGGGGCTTATTATATATCACGGCTTATCACGGTGTTTGTCAAATATTTGTCAAATGGCATGCCTTCAAAATGTTGGAATAACATTTGTTTCAAGTTCAAGGCTGGAGCATATCGGTAATGGAGATGTGTGTGTGTGCGCATTTGTGCGCATGTGTTTTTTTTTCAGTGAGACAGTGAGGTTGTAGACAGGTGTGTGTGGTCTCTTACCAGCTGTTGGCCCTTGGGTCCCCATCCAGCATACTGCAGGGGGGCGTTCCGTACCTCAGGAGGATTTAGACTCCACGTCTCCCTGTGGAGATAAAACACACACTCTGTCACAGTGTGTGTGTGTGTGTGTATGATGTGTGTGTGTGTGTTTCAGGGTGTGTGCCTCAGACTGTGCAGAAAAATACATGGTATCTTCCAGTGAGCTATCTAGGTTGCTTCTGTAATGGTACTATCAATCATCCAAAGCCAAATTTAGCACTAGAAAAGTTTGCTTAACTTTAATACTCAGTACAGATATGGAACAAAAAGCAGGCCTGACAGAGTGTGCTACATAACAACCCAGCAAACCGGGAACATTCCCTGAATATTAGCCAAGTTTCCAATTAAGTTCAAGTTAGGGTTTTTAACTAACATTAGGATGATAACATCCCAAAAACATTCAGAGAACATTTTTGTTCAAATCTATTTACTTATCAAAAATGTTTTAGATTAAATATCATTGGAATGTTCTAACATTCACTAAAAACTGTTGTGCACAACATCTGTAACAACCACCACAGAAACTTTCCCCAAAGGTTTGTATGTTTGTATACAACAATTGACTGATGTTACAAGACTTTTCCTATAACACATTTAATCTGTTCTTTAAAGGTTCCCAGAATGTTTCATTACGTTGTGGGAACAGTCTGGTGGGAACAACACAAAATATATGTTCCCAAGACATAAAACCAGTTGTGCGGATGATTCTACAATGTTTCTTTTAGGATGCAAAAAACATTCACCTGATGTTACAAGAACGTTCCCAGAACACATGTTGTCTGTTCTTTAAAAGGTTCCCAGAATGTTTCATTAGGTTGTGGTAACATTGTGGGGTCATGACAAGAGATATGTTCACAAAACGCAAAAAATGTCCAGTTGTGCTGACATTCAGATAATGTTTGTATCAGGGTGCACAAAACATTCCTTTGATGTTGCAAGAATACTGACAGCCTTTGAGTTTTTTTAACGGTTCCCAGAACATATAATTAGGTTGTGGGAACAGGGAATGTCCAACATTAAGGACATTCCCTTAATGTTGTAAGAATGAAAGTTCGTTTTTATGACATTCATAGCATTTTTGTTTTAGATTTAACATAATATTCCATTGATGTTCATGCAAAATACATTTTACCTCATCTTGGAGGTCCTCAGAACATTTAAAAAACATTTAGAAAATTGTATATTTACCGTAGGTTTGACCTAATATTACCACAACATTCTCAGCATGCAAATTGGATGCTGATTGGAATACATCCCCATCATGTTTCTCTCCAGATTTAATGGCAATTTGTAGGTGATATGAAGACACATGGCATTTTAATTTCATTCATAGGACATTTGAACAGCATTTAATCATACAGTTCAAACACAACCATATTTTTTTACTCTTCATACAGTACCAGTCAAGTTTGGACACACCTACTCATTTGAGGATTTTTCTTAATTTTTTACTATTTTCTACATTGTAGAATAATAGTGAAGCCATCAAAACTATGAAATAACACATATGGAATCATGTAGTAACCAAAGAAGTGTTAAACAACTCAAAATATATTTTATATTTGAGATTCTTCAAAGTAGCCACCCTTTGCCTTGATGACAGCTTTGCACACTTGGCATTCTCTCAACCAGCTTCACCTGGAATGCTTTTCCAACAGTCTTGAAGGAGTTCCCACATATGGTGAGCACTTGTTGGCTGCTTTTCCTTCACTCTGTGGTCCAACTCATCCCAAACCATCTCAATTTGGTTGAGGTCGGGGATTGTGGAGGCCAGGTTATCTGATGCAGCACTCCATCACTCTCCTTCTTGGTCAAATAGCCCTTACACAGCCTGGAGGTGTGTTTTGGGTCATTGTCCTGTTGAAAAAGAAATGATAGTCCCACTAAGCGCAAACCAGATGGGATGGCGTATTGCTGCAGAATGCTGTGGTAGCCATGCTGGTTAAGTGTGCCTTGAATTGTAAATAAATCACAGACAGTGTCACCAGCAAAGCACCCCCACACCATCACACCTCCTCCTCCATGCTTCACGGTGGGAACCACACATGCAGAGATCATCCGTTCACCTACACTGCGTTTCACAAAGACACAGCGGTTGGAACCAAAAATCTCACATTTGGACTCATCAGACGAAAAGGACAGATTTCCACCGGTCTAATGTCCATTGCTCGTGTTTCTTGGCCCAAGCAAGTCTCTTCTTCTTATTGGTGTCCTTTAGTAGTGCTTTCTTTGCAGCAATTCGACCATGAAGGACTGATTCACGCAGTCTCCTCTGAACAGTTGATGTTGAGATGTGTCTGTTACTTGAACTCTGTGAAGCATTTATTTGGGCTGCAATTTCTGAGGCTGGTAACTCTAATGAACTTCTCCTCTGCAGCAGAGGTAATTCTGGGTCTTCCATTCCTGTGGCGGTCCTCATGAGAGCCAGTTTCATCATAGCGCTTGATGGTTTTTGCGACTGCACTTGAAGAAACTTTCAAAGTTCTTGACATTTTCCGGATTGACTGACCTTCATGTCTTAAAGTAATGATGGACTGTTGTTTCTCTTTCCTTATTTGAGCTGTTCTTGCCATAATATGGACTTGGTCTTTTACCAAATAGGGCTATCTTCTGTATACCACCCCTACCTTGTTACAACACAACTGATTGGCTCAAACGCATTAAGGAAAGAAATTCCACAAATTAACTTTTAACAAGGCACACCTGTTAATTGAAATGCATTCCAGGTGACTACCTCATGGAAGCTGGTTGAGAGAATGCCAAGAGTGTGCAAAGCTGTCATCAAGGCAAAGGGTGGCTACTTTGAAGAATCTCAAATATAAAATATATTTTGAGTTGTTTAACACTTCTTTGGTTACTACATGATTCCATATGTGTTATTTCATTGTTTTGATGTCTTCACTCTTATTCTACAATGTAGAAAATAGTAAAAATAAAGAAAAACCTTGGAATGAGTAGGTGTGTCCAAACTTTTGAATGGTACTGTATACTTCTGGGCCCATATTTACAAGGTATCCAAGACTATGAGTGCTGATCTAGGATCACTTTTGCTTTTCAGATCATGAAAAATAAGCCGGGGGGGGACCATATCAAGCGTCTCAAAGTAGGAATTATATCGGGTGCTTTTTTAAAGTTGAACATGTTTTGTTTAAATTCTGCATTTCTGACTGGATTTATAAATCTGGACGAAATAAAGACATCCGCTCTTTTAGTAGTTTACAGTGCCTTCAGAAAGTATTCACACCCCTTGACTTTTTCCAAATTTTGTTGTGTAACAGCCTGAATTTAAAATGGATTACATTGAGATTTTGTGTCACTGGCCTACACACAATACCCCATATTGTCAAAGTGGAATTATGTTTTTTTTTTCAAGTTTTTTTCTCTCCAAATTAATAAAAAAATGAAAAGCTAACATTTCTTGAGTCAAAAAGTATTTAACTTTGTTATGGCAAGCCTAAATAAGTTCAGGAGTAAAAATTAGCTTAACAAGTCACATAATACGTTGCATGGCCTCACTCTGTGCGCAATATTAGGATTTTTAATGACTACCTCATCTCTGTACCCCACACATACAATTATCTGTAAGGTCCCTCAATCAAGCAATGAACTTCAGATTCAACCACAAAGACCGGGGAGGTTTTCCAATGCCAATGGTCCTCTGTAGCTCAATTGGTAGAGCATGGCGCTTGTAACGCCAGGGTAGTGGGTTTGATCCCTGGGACCACCCATACATAAAAATGTATGCACGCATGACTGTAAGTCGCTTTGGATAAAAGTGTCTGCTAAATGGTATATTATATATTATATTATAAAGATGGGCACCTATTCGTAAATTTTTTATATTAGTGTTTAACAGTCAGAAAGTTACAGACTCATCATTATTCACGATTAATTCAGGACTATCTGTAATCATGGTAGCATCCACATTAATGTAGAAGTGTTTAGAAACATATTATATTCTATTTACAATAAAAGTGACTCCAAAATGACACAATACATGATTTACCATTCATTTCTATTGGAAACAAAATCATCTGAAACACAACCAAAACAAACAGCAAATGCATCCAACAAGTTTGTAGAGTTATAGAGTCACATGATGTAATCATTGTGTGCTGTGAATATGGGACCAAATACTAAACTTTGACTACTTTAATACACATAAGTGAATTTGTCCCAATATATTTGGTCCCCTAAAATGGGGGAACTATGTAGAAAAAGTGCTGTACTTTCTAAATGGTTGACCCGATATGGATGAAAATACCCTCCAATTAAAGATGACAGTCTGCACTTTAACCACTTAGTCATTTCAAATCCAAAGTGCTGGAGTACAGAGCCAAAACAACAAAATAATGTGTCTCTGTCCCAATACTTTTGGAGCTCACTGTATACAACCTACAACACAGTCCTCAAATGTAAATTTTCATTACATCTGGAGAGAAACATAATGGGAATGTCTTCCAATCTGTTTTCTTATGCTTTAAGGAGCTACAAATGTGCACGCTGAGAATGTTGTGGTAATATTAGGTCAAACTTAAATATACAATTTTCTAAATGTTCTTGAAATGTTCTGAGGACCTCAAAGACAAGGTAAAATGTGTATTGTGTGAACATCAATGGACTATTATGTTTAACCTAAAACAAATATGCTATAAAAATGTACTTATTAAATTCTTACAACATTAAGTTGTTACAACATTAATGCCCTGTGCAACTTAACTTAAACATTGTATGAATGTCATCACAACTGAGCATATTTTGTGTTTTGGGAACCTCTCTCTTGTGATGTACCCACACTGTTCCCACAGCCTAATGAAATGTTCTGGGAGCCTTTAAAGAACTCAGAAAGGCTGTTCTGTCAACATTCTTGCAATGTCAAAGGAATGTTTTGTGCACCCTGATACAAATATTATCTGAATGTCAGCACAACTGGACAGTTTTAGTGTTATGGGAACCTATCTCATCATATCCCCAAAAGTTCCCACAACCTAAATAAATGTTTTAGGAACTTTTAAAGAACATAAGAAATGTGTTCTTGGAATGTTCTTGCAACATCAGGCAAATGTTTTTTTGCAAGCTAATAGAAACATTGTAATAATCAGCACATAATCAATCCTGTGTGGCTCAGTTGGTAGAGCATGGCGCTTGCAACACCAGGGTTGTGGGTTTGATTCCCACAGGGGACCAGTATGGAGGAGGATATTTTTTAAATGAAATGTACTACTGTAAGTCGCTCTGAATAGGAGCGTCTACTAAATGACGAAAATGTGTGTGGACAGTTTTTGTGTTTTGGGAACATACAGCGCATTCGGAAAGTATTTAGAACCCTTCCCTTTTTCCAAATGTTGTTATGTTACAGCCTTATTCTAAAATGGATTCAATAAATGTTTACTTCGTCAATCTACACACACCCCATAATGACAAAGCGAAAACACGTTTTTAGAAATGTTTGCAAATGTATAAAAAAATAAAAAATAATAATACCTTATTTACATAAGTATTCAGACTCTTTGCTATGAGACTCTAAATTGAGCTCAGGTGCATCCTGTTTCCATTGATCATCCTTGAGATGTTTCCACAACTTGATTGGAGTCCACCTGTGGTAAATTCAATTGATTGGACATTATTTGGAAAGGCACACACCTGTCTATATAAGGTCCCACAGTTGACATTGCATGTCAGAGCAAAAAGCAAACCATGAGGTCGAAGGAATTGTCCGTAGAGCTCCGAGACAGGATTGTGTCGAGGCACAGATCTGGGGAAAGGTACCAAAACATTTCTGCAGCATTGAAGGTCCCCAAGAACACAGTGGCCTCCATCACTCTTAAATGAAAGAAGTTTGGAACCACCTAGATTCTTCCTAGAGCTGGCCAAACTGAGCAACTGGGGAGAAGGGCCTTGGTCAGGGAGGTGACCAAGAACCCTATGGTCACTCTGACAGAGCTCCAGAGTTCCTCTGTGGAGATGGGAGAACATCTTGAGGAAACCTGGCACCATCCCTAAGGTGAAGCATGGTGGTGGCAGCATCATGCAGTGGGGATGTTTTTCAGTGGCAGGGACTGAGAGACTAGTCAGGATCGAGGGAAAGTTTAACAAAGCAAAGTACAGAGTGATCCTTGATGAAAACCTACTCCAGAGCGCTCAGGACCTCAGACTGGGGCGAAGGTTCACCTTCCAACAGGACAACGACCCTAAGCACACAGCCAAGACAACGCAGGAGTGGCTTCGGGACAAGTCTCTGAATGTCCTTCAGTGGCCCAGCCAGAGGCCGGACTTTAACCTGATCGAACATCTCTGGAGAGACCTGAAAATAGCTGTGCAGCGACTCTCCCCATCCAACCTGACAGAGCTTGAGAGGATCTTCAGAGAAGAATGGGAGAAACTCCCCAAATACAGGTGTGCCAAGCTTGTAGCGTCATACCCAAGAAGAATGAAGGCTCTAATCGCTGCCAAAGGTGCTTCAACAAAGTACTGAGTAAAGGGTCAGAATACTTATGTAAATGTGATACACCTGTTTTTGCTTTGTCATCATGGGGTATTGTGTGTAGATTGATGAGGGGAAAAAACAATTTAATCAATTTTAGAAGAAGGCTGTAATGTAACAAAATGTGGAAAAAGTCAAGGGGTCTGAATACTTTCCGAATGCACTGTATCTTATATATCTTGTCAACCTAATGAAACATTCTGGGAACCTTTAAAGAACAGGCAAAATGTGTTCTGGGAACATTCTTGTAATACCAGTTTAATGTTTTCTTGCACCCTAAAAGAAACATTGTATAATCATCCGCACAACTGGACAGTTTTTGTGTTTTGGGAACATATCTTTTGTGATGTCCACATGTTCCCACCAGACTGTTCCCACAACCTAATGAAACATTCTGGAAACCTTTAAAAACAGATTAAATGTGTTCTGTGAACGTTCTTGCAACATCAGGCAAATTATTTATACAAACATTCTATAATCATCACCACGACTGGACTGTTGTTGTGTTATGAGAACATTTGTCACGACCTAAAACATTTTCTGGGAACCTTCACAGACCCAATTTTGGTTTGCTGGGAAGATACCTGGCTGATATTAGGCTGATATTAGGGATGGGGTTTTAACTTTATCCACCAGTTGGCAGCACAACCAACCAGGTGCATAGATGTGACCGCCGACGCTAAGCACTTATGTAGTAGAAGGTCAAGCTGTCCCAGAGAACATTCAACAGTTTACTGTTTCATCTAATCCTTAGACAAAAATAAGATGAGAGTGTAAGAGAGAAAGAAAGAAAGAAAGAAAGAAAGAAAGAAAGAAAGAAAGAAAGAAAGAAAGAAAGAAAGAAAGAAAGAAAGAAAGAAAGAAAGAAAGAAAGAAAGAAAGAAAGAAAGAAAGAAAGAAAGAAAGAAAGAAAGAAAGAAAGAAAGAAAGAAAGAAAGAAAGAAAGAAAGAAAGAGAAAAATATATTTTAAAAAAAAGAAAGAAAGATTTAAAAAATAAATAAAAAATGAAAGAAAGAAAGAAGAGACAGACAGACAGACAGACAGACAGACAGACAGACAGACTAACTTACGGGGTGATGAGACTACAGATGATGTAGAAGGCCATGCAGGAGTGCTGGTAGACCTGCAAAGACAAACACAGCTTCAGCATCCAGCATCCAGCATTCAACCTCAGATGGCAGAAACACCCAACAAACTCTGCATTTGAGACAAAAGAAGAAGTGTGGTCCTTTCTACTCACTGGGGCCACGTTGTAGGCCAACAACACATGTTCCAGGTCTGGAGATATGTGGTACTTGGTGGCTTTGAACATTTCCTGGATAACAAATAAGTAAGGATGTTTGAGTCATATTTATTACAAATGATCATCATACATTTTTCAATACCATGTCACCTACTTATACACGTTTGGGAATAAAATAAGCTAATACTCACAAACTTCCTGTTCTCCACCAAAACGACCATCTCCTGTGTTTCGACGTTGAGTTTGACCACGTCCCCTTCTCGTGTTCGATACAGTAGTACATTGTCTGGAAATAATAAACAGCACAGAAGAGAGAGCATTACATAGTGGATTATGCAGCCGGCTGTTTCAAACAGTACATATAGTGCTGGATCAGGCCTTAGTGGGGCTAAGAGGGGCCAGCCTTCTGCACCAGACTGGGAACAGATATATTTTAGGGGGGCACAGAGGTACAATTGGAGCAGGCCCTGCTGGCATCCTGTTACCTCTGCAGCATATACAGTAGCTGTAGGGTGTGGGTACATACAGTGTGATCCCACTGGGCACAGACGTAAATTCAATGTCTATTCCAGGTTGGTTTAACGTATTTTCATTCATATGACATGGAAACAATGTTGATTCAACCAGTGTCTGCCGAGTGGGATGGTCCAAGTGGTAGACCATTTTCACATTATTGTGCCGACCCAAACCATACTGTGCTGGCTCAGGTATTTGGTTCCTATGGTGGATGCATAAATAGGAAAGGACATTACAGCTTGGCTTGGTTCTGCTCAGCTCTGCTCAGTAGTGTGATAATGGTAGTGTTGTCCTCTATACCAGAGCCGATTCCTCAGTCTCACTGTGTCCTGTTCGTATTAACCCCTCTACCAAGAGAAGTGCAGAGAAAAGGTCCTTGCTGCTCTCTCCAATGTTTTTACCCTTCAAATAAAGGTTGATTGAATAGCCATCTCATCTCCCTTACTTACTATTCGCCACAGCATTAGCAGTATAGTGCTGATGCTACTCATACTGGAAGGATCTCATATTGCTGGACATAATGGACTTTTATTTGGATTTTATGGTAGTGTGTTTTTCTTTTAAATTAACTTCAAGTTTGTTTGTTTCTGTATTCTGTTTTGAAAACCTTTTCCTGCTCCAGTCCAAATATTTATTCAGTCATGACAGTTCATCTCTCAAAACCATCAGTGGATGCATTAGGAATAATGGAATGTGTATGAGTATCCTGCAAGTCCAAACTGCTGAAGGCCTTCATTAACAAAAGCCATTCATTAAATTGCTGTAATTAATCAATCAATGAAAACGAATGAGAGCAGTGTACAGTACACAGTGTCCCTGTAAGACCACAGACAGAGTGAAGGCAAAGTGACTCAGTCTCCTTCCTGTTTCTGTGTCTCAAAGGCAGGGCTCGAAATTAAGGGTGTCCCGTTGTCCTGGGGACACAATATGTCTGGGACGCTTCAAAACAGACTCTGGGACAGTTCTGTGACGATAGATCCAAAATGCATATAACCACTGTACATCAAAAACATTTAAAAAGCAATGAGGCTGATGCAACAGATCAGAATGTTTAGCTTAGAATGTTGATAAACTATTATTTCTTCACATTATAAGCGCAGCAATGTGCACACGGCAGTAGGCTATGTACGAATATTCCAAAAATGCAAGTAGCGGGAACACACTGTTCTAAAAAGTGCATCACACATGCGAGCGGTTTCATGTGACAGATGAAAATATCCATAAGAAATTCTGAAAAAGGGGAGATCTAAAGACGCAACAACTAGCATGGGTTGCTAATATGACTAAGATTGTGTCTGGCTGCTGGACAATGAAAGAAAGCTGGTTTCAATGGCATAAGGAAGTGTTTATCAAATAATTCCCTCAAAGTTTCTATGGTCTGATTTTGGCTAGGCTACTTGAAACAAGGTAAGACATGCCTCATAACATGGCATAAAACCTCCAGATTTTTAATAATGAAGTTTATGGTTAAATAGTTTCAAAATGCTGACTGCCTCCGGTCAGATTGCAAGGATGGTGACACTTGTTACGCAACAGGTACTGGCCTTTCTCTCCACGCTTGTATTTGATCTGAACGAACCGTGCCTCGAGTAGGCCTACGCCAACAGAATCAAGCCTTTAGACGTTAATGTTAATTATCCTACATTATATTTGTCAAACATGACTGGAGCTTGTCGTATATTTATATAATTAAAAGTCTCATTAAAGTTTGGCTAGATTTTCTGGCGCCTCCCTCATGTCAACATCGGTGTGGACACATCACCTAAGCTACACTGAGATGTAGGCTAATTATTTATGTACAGGTAACTGCCAAAATAAAGGAAACACCAACATAAAGTGTCTTAATAGGGCGTTGGGCCACCATGAGCCACCAGAACAGCTTCAATGTGCCTTGAGATAGATTCTACAAGTGTCTGGAACTCCACTCTATTGGAGGGATGCGACACCATTCTTCCACGAGAAATTCCATAATTTGGTGTTTTGTTGATGGTGGTGGAAAACGCAGTCTCTGGCGCCACTTCAGAATCTCCCATAATTGTTCAATTGGGTTTAGATCTGGTGACTGAGAGACACACACACACTCTTTAAACCCCCTATGCTCCTTTGAAACCCCTCTTTCAAAGCCACTGAGATCTCGTCTTCTAGCCATGGTAGCGAAAAGAATGGGCAACTGGGTATTTTTATACATGACCCTAAGCATGATGGGATGTTAATTGCTTAATTAACTCAGGAAACACACCTATGTGGAAGCACCTGCTTTCAATATACTTTGTTTCCCTCATCTACTCAAGTGTTTCCATTATTTTGTCAGTTACCTGTACATTTATGCAAAAATAAATTTGAATATTATTCCAATGTTGGCCTTTTTTAGAGGTAAATTATTTTATGTGAATTTCTGGCTCAGTTGACAGACCCATTTATCCATTTCAGTAGTAGGCTACTCTTATTAGCGTTTTAAATCACTGTGAATGACCTTGGTCCTAGAGTAGACCCATGTTGGCATATCAAAACATTAAAATAAACAAAGTATTTTAGCATTTAGGATGGTTCATCTTCAGTTTGGGAAGGTTGTTATTGCACTTTTGGGACGATTCTGGGACGGTGATGAAAAAGGTTAGTCTTGAGCCCTGCTCATAGGACAGCTTCAAAGAGACCGGTGATAAGCGGTGATCAAAGAGCAACGGTGGATCAATTATGTATCACTGAATGAAACCAACGCAACACATATTGATGAGGACTACTGAAGTACAAGGTCGCACGATCCTACGCATTATCACTGGTCATTAGAACCAAATATTGAGCTGATTGCATTAACTTCACTTTGACACGGAGGAATGTCAGACGATGACTCACTAAGGTTTTATCAGAGGATGATAGAGAACATTCCAATATTGCGTTAGAAAAATACACGCTTTGAAGTTTGTGTGTGTGTGTGTGTGTGTGTGTGGTGTGGGGTGTGTGGTGTGTGTGTGTGTGTGTTTCTGCTGGTGAGGTTAATTATCATGGTCCATTTGCTGAGGGAAACGCCGTTTAGCCTGCTGTTTAACTTCTCTGCAGCCACCATTTCCCTACATAGTCCTTTGGCTGTCTTTTACAGAAAACTCAGCAGGGAAAAACACTGGACATCAGCATGTTGCCAAAGTCATGGCAGGGCCGACTGGGCCAAAATATTCTGCCATGATTTGAATTTTCAATTCAGTTTAAATTATCTTCAGAGATATCCAGACTGAGTGAGTAATTATGACGATATAATATATATTATATTATTGTGAAAAGGCTACTTTCTGGAGAAGAAGATAAGCTAGGTTACTGCTGCATACAGTGTCTAAAGTTGTATATAAATCAGTACAGTGAGGGAAAAAAGTATTTGATCCCCTGCTGATGTTGTAAGTTTGCCCACTGACAAAGACATGATCAGTGTATAATTTTAATGGTAGGTTTATTTGAACAGTGAGAGACAGAATAACAACAACAAAAATCCAGAAAAACGCATGTCAAAAATGTTATAAATTGATTTGCATTTTAATGAGGGAAATAAGTATTTGACCCCTCTGCAAAACATGACTTAGTACTTGGTGGCAAAACCCTTGTTGGCAATCACAGAGGTCAGACGTTTCTTGTAGTTGGCCACCAGGTTTGCACACATCTCAGGAGGGATTTTGTCCCACTCCTCTTTGCAGATCTTCTCCAAGTCATTAAGGTTTCGAGGCTGACGTTTGGCAACTCGAACCTTCAGCTCCCTCCACAGATTTTCTATGGGATTAAGGTCTGGAGACTGGCTAGGCCACTCCAGGACCTTAATGTGCTTCTTCTTGAGCCACTCCTTTGTTGCCTTGGCCGTGTGTTTTGGGTCATTGTCATGCTGGAATACCCATCCACGTCCCATTTTCAATGCCCTGGCTGAGGGAAGGTTCTCACCCAAGATTTGACGGTACATGGCCCTGTCCATCGTCCCTTTGATGCGGTGAAGTTGTCCTGTCCCCTTAGCAGAAAAACACCCCCAAAGCATAATGTTTCCACCTCCATGTTTGACGGTGGGGATGGTGTTCTTGGGGTCATAGACAGCATTCCTCCTCCTCTAAACACGGCGAGTTGAGTTGATGCCAAAGAGCTCGATTTTGGTCTCATCTGACCACAACACTATCACCCAGTTCTTCTCTGAATCATTCAGATGTTCATTGGCAAACTTCAGACGGCCCTGTATATGTGCTTTCTTGAGCAGGGGGACCTTGCGGGCGCTGCAGGATTTCAGTCCTTCACGGCGTAATGTGTTACCAATTGTTTTCTTGGTGACTATGGTCCCAGCTGCCTTGAGATCATTGACAAGATCCTCCCGTGTAGTTCTGGGCTGATTCCTCACCGTTCTCATGATCATTGCAACTCCACGAGGTGAGATCTTGCATGGAGCCCCAGGCCGAGGGAGATTGACAGTTCTTTTGTGTTTCTTCCATTTCCGAATAATCGCACCAACTGTTGTCACCTTCTCACCAAGCTGCTTGGCGATGGTCTTGTAGCCCATTCCAGCCTTGTGTAGGTCTACAATCTTGTCCCTGACATCCTTGGAGAGCTCTTTGGTCTTGGCCATGGTGGAGAGTTTGGAATCTGATTGATTGATTGCTTCTGTGGACAGGTGTCTTTTATACAGGTAACAAACTGAGATTAGGAGCACTCCCTTTAAGAGTGTGCTCCTAATCTCAGCTCGTTACCTGTATAAAAGACACCTGGGAGCCAGAAATCTTTCTGATTGAGAGGGGGTCAAATACTTATTTCCCTCATTAAAATGCAAATCAATTTATAACATTTTTGACATGTGTTTTTCTGGATTTTTGTTGTTGTTCTTCTGTCTCTCACTGTTCAAATAAACCTACCATTAAAATTATAGACTGATCATTTCTTTGTCAGTGGGCAAATGTACAAAATCAGCAGGGGATCAAATACTTTTTTCCCTCACTGTATGTAAAAGTATGTGGAAATAAAATACATTCTGGTACTACTTTTGTGTTTAATGGAGAGTCAATGAAAAAACAAAGTAGTTTGAATCTCTAACACTAGAGGGCGAACAGTAACTTGAGCCAATATTCATGTGAGTTTACTTTCCACTTGACTTTGTCAAGGTTAAAAAGGTTAGACCAGCCCTACATCGCTTTAATTTGGGCCATTCCTGTCCTGTACATGCTCTGCATACATTATAGCTACAGTACTGTATGGTGCATAACAGCATAAACTGGATGCTTATTGTGAAGAATCTACCATAGAATGACATACAGAATCAATTTCTTTGGGATTTACTCTCTGGAGACAGTAGTGGAAACAGGCACATTTCAAGGTTCCATTGGATTACATGACTCTGTCGTTGTGTCTCTGTATAACACTTACTTAGTTATGTGGGCTGTCTGTCTCTGTTCTAAGGGAATAACCATGAGACTATAACCATGTAATCCTTGAGGACTTGATAATGAGCATTCACAGTAAACACGTCGGCTGAGTGATCCATTATGCCTTTAAATCAGGATTTGGGTTTCTATGATTATGTTTAGGCAATTGAAGTCCTAGTTAGGTTTCCATATGTTTTATGTGTGGCCCTCTTGTTTGATAGTAATGGCTGTCTAATGGGAAAAGTAATGCGGCTTGGAATACATACTGGGATAGAGTCATTGCCTTAGCGACCGCTGTCTACCGTATGTAAATGTGGTGCTCTAATAATGTAAACTGATATGTAACAGTTCCTGGTTGGTGGGTGCTGTGTTAGCTTCAGTTTCTATTGGCAGGTGAAAGGGCAGGGTGTAACTATAGCAACTCACCGCTGAGCCATGTAGCGTCGGGGTCGTGCACGTGAAGATCTCCTCCAAAGACGTCCTCGATGGTGACTTTCTTCTTGAGGGCAAGGCTATCATCTGCAACTGCCAGTGGAATATATCAACAAAACAAAAGTGGAAGAAGACATAGAATGAATCAGTTACAGCAATATGATACTGTTATGTTTTAATTCTCTTTCAAATAAAAAAGGGATCTGGCCATCTTTGTTACCTGGTTACTGTCAGTCAGTCAGAACTCTGACTTAATTACTTTACAGTCTGCCTTTGTGACTTGAGTAGCTTTCAGCTGCAAGAAAGTGCATTTTCCATTTCCAAAAATCTTTAATATTTTACTTCTCCTGCAAGAAGTTGCCTAAGGGGTCATAAAAATAGGGTAGGAGACATCTGTCAGAATCAGACTATTATCTGCTGTTTCTGTCTCTGGAGATAGTAGGACTGTAATTCCCATATCACAGGCACAGCGATTAAGGAAAGGTTACAAAGAAGAAAGAGACTCTTGGCCCAGGGTAGCGCTCCATTGAACCGCCAGCATCAATTCACAGCAGCCTGTAACTCCCTCTAACCCAGCTACACAGGGTAGACAGCAGAGACCAGTCAGGGTAGACAGCAGAGCAAGAGGGTTGAGTTACATAAAGACGGTGGTGTGTGTGTGTGTCTATGCCCCTTCAACCCCATATGGGAGCTTTACATAGTTATCTTCTCCATTCACCTGTCAGTTTATTCAGGAAAAGACAGAGTATTAACAGTACAATATGCTAGAATGGACAATCGTATGTGTCAGTGCCAGTAAGTGGATTTTGCAGAGAATTGAGAGAACTAAAAATACCTTTGCAAGTCTCTGTATTTGAAAATGTATCTTCATCTGTTGGTAAAAGACCATTGAGAGGGATTCCCAACATCAAATAAAATCAAATAAAATGTTATTTTTCACATGCGCCGAATACAACAGGTGTCGACCTTACAGTGAAATGCTAGCCCTTAACCAACAATGCAGTTTTATGAAAAATAAGTGTTAAGTAAAAATAATTAAAGAGCAGCAGTAAAATAACAGTAGCGAGGCTATATACAGGGGGTACCGGTACAGAGTCAATGTGCGGGGGCACAGGTTAGTCGAGGTAATTTAGGTAATATGTACATGTAGGTAGAGTTAAAGTGACTATGCATAAATAATAAACAGAGAGTAGCAGCAGCGTAAAAGGGGGGTGGGGGGGGGGGGGGGGGGGGGGGGGGGGGGGGGGTGCAATGCAAATAGTCCGGGTAGCCATTTGATTAGCTGTTCAGGAGTCTTATGGCTTGGGGGTAAAAGCTGTTTAGAAGCCTTTTGGACCTAGACTTGGTGCTCCGGTACCGCTTGCCGTGCGGTAGCAGAGAGAACAGTCTATGACTAGGGTGGCTGGAGTCTGACAATTTTGAGGGCCTTCCTCTGACACCGCCTGGTATGGAGGTCCTGGATGGCAGGAAGCTTGGCCACAGGGATGTACTGGGCAGTACGCACTACCCTCTGTAGCAGTTTCCATACCAGGCAGTGATGCAACCAGTCAGGATGCTCTCGATGGTGCAGCTGCCATGCCAAATCTTTTCAGTCTCCTGAGGGGGAAAAGGCTTTGTCGTGCCCTCTTCACTACTGTCTTGGTGTGTTTGGACCATGATAGTTTGTTGGTGATGTGGACACCAAGGAACTTGAAGCGCTCAACCTGCTCCATTACAGACCAGTCGATGAGAATGGGGGCGTGCTCGGTCCTCTTCTTTTTCCTGTAGTCCACAATCATCTCCTTTGTCTTGATCACGTTGAGGGAGAAGTTGTTATCCTGGCACCACATGGCCAGGTCTCTGACCTCCTCCCTATATGCTGTCTTATCGTTGTCGGTGATCAGGCCTACCACTGTTGTGTCGTCGGCAAACTTAATGATTGTGTTGGAGTCATGCCTGGCCATGCAGTCATGGGTGAACAGGGAGTACAGGAGGGGACTGAGCATGCACCCCTGAGGGGCCCCTGTGTTGAGGATAAGTGTGGCAGATGTGTTGTTACCTACCCTTACTACCTGGGGGCAGCCCGTCAGGAAGTCCAGGATCCAGTTGCAGAGGGAGGTGTTTAGTCCCAGGAACCTTAGCTTATTGATGAGCTTTGAGGGCACTATGGTGTTGAACGCTGAGCTGTAGTCAATGAATAGCATTCTCACGTAGGTGTTCCTTTTGTCCAGGTGGGAAAGGGCAGTGTGGAGTGCAATAGAGATTGCAACATCTGTGGATCGGGTTGAAAATATCAGTGAAGACACTTGCCAGTTGGTCAGCGTATGCTCGGAGTACACATCCTGGTAATCCGTCTGGCCCTGCGGCCTTGCGATTGTTGACCTATTTAAAGGTCTTACTCACATCGGCTACGGAGAGCGTGATCACACAGTCATCCGGAACAGCTGATGCTCTCATGCATGCTTCAGTGTTGCTTGCCTCGAAGCGAGCATAGAAGTAATTTAGCTCGTCTGGTAGGCTCGTGTCACTGGGCAGCTCCCGGCTGTTCTTCCCTTTGTAGTCTGTAATAGTTTGTAAGCCCTGTCACATCCGACGAGCATCGGAGCCGGTGTAGTACGAGTCAATCTTAGTCCTGTATAGACGCTTTGCCTGTTTGATGGTTCGTCGGAGGGCATGGCAGGATTTCTTATAAGCGTCCAGGTTAGAGTCCCGCTCCTTGAAAGCGGCAGCTCTACCCTTTAGCTCAGTGCGGATGTTGCCTTTAATCCATGGCTTCTGGTTGGGGTATGTACGTACGGTCACTGTGGAGACGACGTCATCGATGCACTAATTGATGAAGCCAGTGACTGATGTGGGGTACTCCTCAATGCCATCGGAAGAATCCCGGAACATATTCCAGTCTGTGCTAGCAAAACAGTCCTGTAGCTTCGCATCTGTGTCATCTGACCACTTGTTTATTGACCGAGTCACTGGTGCTTCCTGCTTTAGTTTTTGCTTGTAAGCAGGAATCAGGAGGATAGAGTTATGGTCAGATTTGCCAAATGGAGGGCGAGGGAGAGCTTTGTACGCGTCTCTGTGTGTGGAGTAAAGGTGGTCTAGAGTTTTTTTCCCCTCTGGTTGCACATTTAACATGCTGGTAGAAATTAGGTAAAACGGATTTAAGTTTCCCTGCATTAAAGTCCCTGGCCACTAGGTGCGCCGCATCTGGATGAGCGTTTTCCTGTTTGCTTATGGCTTTATACAGCTCATGGAGTGCGGTCTTAGTGCCAGCATCGGTTTGTGGTGGTAAATAGACAGCTACGAAAAATATAGTTGAAAACTCTCTTGATCAATAGTGTGGTCTACAGCTTATCATGAGATACTCTACCTCAGGCGAGCAAAAGCTCGAGACTTCCATAATATTAGATTTCGTGCACCAGCTGTTGTTTACAAATACACACAGACTGCCACCCCTTGTCTTACTGGAGTCAGCCGTTCTATCTTGCCGATGCAGCGTATATCCCGCCAGCTGTCTGTTGTCCATGTCGTCGTTCAGCCACGACTCGGTGAAACATAAGATATTACAGTTTTTAATGTCCCGTTGGTAGGATATCCGTGATCTTAGTTTGTCTATTTTGGTATCCAATGATTGTACGTTGGCTAATAGGACAGATGGTAGAGGCAGATTACACACTCGCCGTCGAATCCTTACAAGGCATCCCGACCTACATCACCGATATCTCAGTCTCTTTCTCATGCGAATGACGGGGATTTGGGCCTTGTCGTATGTTTGAAGAAAGTCCTTCACGTCCGACTCGTTAAAGAAAAATCTTCGTCCAGTACGAGGTGAGTAATCGCTGTACTGATATCCAGAAGCTCTTTTCGGTCATAAGAGACGATTGAAGAAACATTATGTACAAAATAAGTTACAAATAATGTGAAAAATCACACACAATAGCACAATTGGTTAGGAGCCCGTAAAATGGCAGCCATCTCCTCTGGCGCCATTCTGGCAAATAGCACCTCTGATGCACTGGCAATTGTACAAATGACTAGAGCTATTACTGCATAATAATCTCCATTAAACAAGACTGAATGACATTTTACATTAAAGCCCCATTACCTAGTGAGAGGATGACCTCACCTCGTCTTTCTGAAAAACCAATATGCAATCTCCAAGCTGACTCATCTCAACATCACCATCTCTACTCCTGTCTGTCTTTGAATGAACGGGCTTATGAAATGAAATGACCTACTGGGCTGTCTGCTAGCAAGGCCAATTGCAATCCCTAACTATACGTTTTCTTTTGGTGGCCTGACTCAGGTACAGATGTAGGATCTTAATTTGACTAGTTTCTCACAGCAGGAAAATAATCCAGCAGCAACAGGAAATGTTAATTATTGTGTGGATTATAATTAATGGAAATTTTTGTAGGGGTTGATACATTTTTAGTTAAGGCAAATCAAGTCAGACATTTTAAAGTGGAAATTACAAACTTTTTAAAAACCTTGAATACACTACAAATTAGCATTTTCTGCTGTGCAGGACATTTCCTGCAACAATAGGGTGATCAAATTAAGGTCCCACATCTGTATGAGAATGACTTGATTTAACAACGTTTGCAGCTTCCTGCCCCATCCGTCATACATCTTGACGGTTGCTATGCTTACAAAGTGTGTGTTAGGGAAGTGATGCTGTGTTTGTAGTGTTATGTATCTGAGAGAGTGTGTGGTGTAATCTAGCGGAGTGTAATAGGTGTTTCTAAGCGTATTGTAATATAGCTGAGTGTGTTTGTGTTATTATGAGTGTGGTGTTGTGTTTGTGTAGTAATATAGCTGAGTGTGTGTAGTGTGATGCAGCATTGTGTGTTACATACTTGGGGTGAGCAGGATGACGGATGTGACGATCAGAGACAAGATGATGCAGATGACCAGCAGGGCGATGACTATCCCCTTCCAGTTCCTCTGTGGAGGGGCACTGCTCACCAGGTCCTGCAACACAAACACACACAAGTTAATAGGGGTCAATGGGGGAGAATGAAGTGGAGGCAATGAGTACGGTTACATACACACAATAATGCGATTATTGTGGATAATCAGATGAATATAATAGTTCGATTAAAACGTTTACATGCTTTGCAAGAAGAACGATTTCACTAATATTCCCGTTTACGTGAACACATCTGAAATCAGGCTACCTGATGGCACTCTGACAAATACAGAAAATCGCCAATCAAAATAAATGTTCTACCACAGCGAACATGTAATTTTTGGTAAGCATATTTGATTCTGAGTTTGTATGTGAAAACTACTTCTAAGACGCATACATTCAGTTGTTCCGAACTCACTTCACTCACGCTAAAGAGGGAGGCTCGCTCGGCTGGTGCTAGCACATGCGCTGATCAAATACAATTAAGGTGTTTACATGTCCTAATAATTCTAAAGATTGCTCAGAAACCAGGTGTTTTAATCGGTGTATCCTTACTTTGATTTTGACCTTATGCCGATTAAGATAAGCAGAGTAAGGTGTTTACATGACTACTGCATAATCTGCCTACTGCCATAATCAGTTTAATGTCAAATTATTACTGTGCATGTAAACGTACCCACTGACTGTGTTTGTGCTACTACTGCAGTACTCCTGTGACAGGCGCTCAGCCACACAGCTGTTGAAAGAACCTAGTGGGAATCTAAGTGACAGAATAAGCTCTGATTGGGGAACTGACAGGAAAAAACAAGAATACGCTGAAGACAGTTCCTTATGTTAAAATGTGCTGCGTTGGGAGATCCAGAGCATCTGAGCACATCCCCAGAGTCATTCACACCTTTACACCGTTCCCTTTCCATTCCACTCTCTCTGTAGGACAGATCACTATCCTGCAGCTTCTACAGTCATTCTACCTCATCTAGTATTGTATTACACTACCCCATGGTCCTAGTGCTCAGGATGAGTCTATTTGCAGCCTCTTTGCCTGGGTGGAGTGGCATATGTACTATGTGCTCTTGCTCCATGCAGAACAAGAGACAACAGGCACACAGAGTGAGCAAAATAATGAGCCTCTCCTCTCCTCAGAGCCAAACAGACAGTAGATGGTCTATCAACCCTATTACTCTAAACACATACAGTCAATTCCACATGACATACAAAACCTAACTGTACCCCTATGGAGGTGCAGTGGCTGTATTGGTTACCCGATAAGACTGCCAATCGAATGTAAACTGAGGCAGATACCTCACTGCACACCATCTCATTTGCAGATATAAAAAGCCCAGCATGATTAGTTCATGAGATTCTGGTCTTTGATATGTTCTGAGTGTAGAGGGATGAGTGTCCTATAGGTGAATCAGTGTTAAGACTTTGCTGTATCTGTTGGTCTCCAAGGCTGATTTTAGCCTGGTTCCAGTTTAGCCTACTTCCAGAGGCATGACAACCGAGTTGGCTAAAGCACTTAAAGATCTGGAAGTAGGCTAAACTGATTAATGCAGAGGCCCCTGCACAGTGTCTCCTCATTAGGGTATGTCTCTCTCCCCTCCACTGAGCTCTGAGCAGTGGCTGGAGCACAGCATGTCACTGTGGGCAGTTAGAGATCAGGCTTAATTGGGAACAAGGCAATCAACAGCTCTAGATTAATATGGATCAGTGTTGCTCTGCATCTTTCTGTCTGAGGCCATGGTGGTGGTGGTGGTGGCATCTCCCTCATATTAAACTGATAGTGAGATAAGGGTCTGAGATAGAGGAAATGAATCTGCCTGTGTTATCACCTAAAGCCCTAACACTGTGGGTTCATCAGGAAATCACTGTCTGCTGCCCTCTGACCTCCACAAGTAATAAACAAAGGAATAATATGCTATGCAGATCAAATATACAGATCAAGGCCCATAGATATCTACAGTACACTGCAAAGGTTCAGGTGAGAATTCCATTTTGAACACTTTGAAGAGAGCCTTTGAGAGTGTCAAGGTTACGGCTCGGTGATAATAGAACCTACAGCAGAGGTAACATAGTTGGGATCCATAAACATGACATGTTGGCTCTTTGCCACACTAAAAGCCTTTACTCAGCATAACCATACCAGCCATATTGACGCCAGTCTAACTAGCCTGTGTGAATATTCATTCTCGCTAGCACATTTGGTTCCTTGGAAGTTGTAGGAACGTATGTTTTTGGTTTCACATTGGTTGTCAATGCAAAGCCATACGTTTCCTGACTGGTAAAATTGAAAGTTAATTTTATACGTTCTGAGAACAGAAGTGAAAATTTCGCCTGTTCTGGAAATGTTGATTTTTAGGTTGCAGGGAGGGTTCTGAGAACGTTTTACTCTGGTTCCTTATAAGTTTTCCTGGGAGGTTTTATTAAAGCTCTGAGAACAAAAATTATAGGTTATTTGGTGATTTTTTAATAACTTACAGTAAGACTTTAAATAACACTGCTAGCTTATTTTTGGTTAACATTTTTCAACTCCAAGCAGAGATAGAACACATGGAAAGTCATTCCGTTAGCCATTAATCAGCAAACACATGTTTTTATTGTGACACGGCAGCCGTGAGATTGGAACCTATAATCTTCTGTTCTCTATACTCTATTCAAACAGACCACATTTGAAAGGAAACAAGCACTCATTAAGAGCAGATGTGGCGAATTAGTGGGCGCAGCCAACACACCTAAACACACCTAACAAGATAGAGGATAGAGAGAGTTTTGTTGATGCTGAGAACGGAATTTATATGTTTTTAAATAATCTTAGAACGTTCTCTGAATGTTACTAAAGTTTTCTTGTGGTTTTTATGGAAAGTTTTATTCACGTTCTGAGAAAGGAATGTATGTTAGTTTTTATTCTTCTTTATTATTTTCCCCTAACCCTACCACCCTAATTGGAGTAAACTAATGGACAACAATACTTAGACTTCTACTTCCAGCTTATACATACTATATACATTTTCCAGACACAGTACATTTTACATTAGTTCCCCTTTTTAGGTCCACCCATCAGCTACCAATCCATCTCTGAAAACCATCCAGTTTGGATATCTACTTGCCATATATTTGTGCTATAACTGTGCTGTGATATTTTACAAAAGTTCAGAACTTTTTTCTCATCGTTTCTACAGATTGTAAATTAAAGATGAACATTTTTACAAAGAGCATTATTATATTATTGATTTTAAAGTCACCAGCAGTGCTATTTGCAGAGTTAGTTTTAGGTAAATGTGATTTTTTTGCCAGTACCAAAACAAATTATCTAATGATTATGTCTCTTCGCAGCAAATTCTGCAGAGCTGGGATGGTTGTATCCCCCATATACATAACATTCTATTGGTTGCAAGAATTTAAATGTGTTAAAACTCATTTTCTTGTCTATCAGTTCATAAACCATGTGCCATGGAATCGGCACATCGAAAATCTCATCCAACTATTTAGCAACCTGTATGGCGCAGCTGTACATTTTTTGGTTCTTGAATGGAACTGGTATACTTTTTATTTATCCAATTTTTGGTCTTTAATGCAGGGCCGACAGACAAGTTCCTTACCTTCTCCCCCTTCCGCTTCCCTCCAACATTTTTGCAGTAATGCTGCAATCAGTTGGTTGTAATTTTGGATAGAGCAGACATTGCCATATATTTTTGTTAGCTGCATGTGTGACAGACAGTGCCTTCAGAAAGTATTCAGACCCCTTGACTTTTTCCACATTTTGTTACGTTACAGCCTTATTCTAAAATTGATTAAATAAAACAAATTCTTCATCAATCTACACACAATACCCCATAATGACAAAGCGAAAACAGGTTTTTAGACATTTTTGCAAATGTATTAAATCTAAAAAAACAGAAATATCTTATTTACATAAGTATGAGACTCGAAATTGAACTCAAGTGCATCCTGTTTCCATTGATCATCCTTGAGATGTTTCTACAACTTGATTGGAGTCCACCTGTGGTACATTCAATTGATTGGACATGATTTGGAAAGTCACACACCTGTCTATATAAGGTCCCACAGTTGACAGTGCATGTCAGAGCAAAAACCAAGCCATGAGGTCGAAGGAATTGTCCGTAGAGCTCCAAGACAGAATTGTGTCGAGGCACAGATCTGAGGAAGGATACCAAAACATTTCTGCAGCATTGAAGGTCCCCAAGAACACAGTGGCCTACAACATTCTTAAATGGAAGAAGTTTGGAACCACCAAGACTCTTCCTAGAGCTGGCCGCCCGGCCAAACTTAGCAATCGGGGGAGAAGGGCCTTGGCCAAGAACCCGATGGTCACTCTGACAGAGCTCTGAGTTCCTCTGTGGAGATGGGAGAACCTTCCAGAAGGACAACCATCTCTGCAGCACTCCACCAATCAGGCCTTTATGGTAGAGTGGCCAGACAGAAACCTCTCCTCAGTAAAAAGGCATATGACAGCCCACTGGAGTTTGCCAAAAGGCACCTAAAGGACTCTCAGACCATGAGAAACATGATTGTCTGGTCTGATGAAACCAAGATTGAACTCTTTGGCCTGAATGCCAAGCGTCACGTCTGGAGGAAACCTGGCACCATCCCTACGGTGAAGGATGGTGGTGGCAGCATCATGCTGTTGGGATGTTTTTCAGCGGCAGGGACTGGGAGACTAGTCAGGATCGAGGCAAAGATGATCGGAGCAAAGTACAGAGAGATCCTTGATGAAAACCTGCTCCAGAGTGCTCAGGAACTCAGACTGGGGCGAAAGTTCACCTTCCAACAGGACAACGACCCTAAGCACACAGCCAAGAAAACACAGGAGTGGCTTCGGGACAAGTCTCTGAATGTCCTTGAGTGACCCAGCCAGAGTCCAGACTTGAACCTGATTGAACAACCCTGGAGAGACCTGAAAATAGCTGTGCAGCAACGCTCCCCATCCAACTTGACAGAGCTTGAGAGGATCTGCAGAGAAGAATGGGAGAAACTCCCCAAATACAGGTGTGCCAAGCTTGTAGCGTCATATCCAAGACAACCCGAGGCTGTAATCACTGCCAAAGGTGCTTCAACAAAGTACTGAGTAAAGGGTCTGAATACTTACGTAAATGTGATATTTCAGTTTTTATTTATGTATTAAACCTGTTTTTGCTTTGTCATTATGGGGTATTGTGTGTGATGAGGGAAAAAAGTAAAGGCTGTAACGTAACAAAATGTGGAAAAAGTCAAGGGGTCTGAATACTTTCCGAATGCACTGTAACTCCACCACTCCTTTTTATGATATCATAAAAAAAGATTATACTGGAAAAAAAAGTATAATCCAAATATAATGTATTTTTTTAGTTTAACCATAATGTTTGTTGTAATATTTGTTCCATATTTTCTGGTGGATGAAAATGAAATTGCACACAGCTTTCTATGGCTTGTTTTAAAAATAGTAATATTTTGGAGATTGGAGATTATTATTTCCTTTTCAAATAACCGAAAGTGAGAGGTTGTAATCTGGAGAAAGAGTAAAAGGCCATTTTTGGACAAAGGGTTGAGCCATTCATACTAATCTGCTGGAGAACCAGTTTGGATTTAAGTATAACTTTTGTATGACTGAAGCCTTTAGTGAGAGGTTCAATGCTTTAATCTTTAATAATTGTAGCCCTCCAAATTCATATATAAATAGGCCTGTTTAATTTTATCTGGTTTGCTGTTCCAAATAAAGTGGAATATTTGTTGCTCATATAATTTAAAAAAACTAGTTGTTCGCTGTAGGCAGGGCCATAACTAAATAGGTAAACTGGGATATGACTAGATAATTAATCAGGGTGCACATTTGAAAGTGCTTGGTTAAAAACAAGTTGTCATCCAGTAGCCTTTGATTAAATGTCCAGAATCCTCGCCCACGTGGAAATTCTGTAACAGTAATGTGTATGCTAATTATTTGATGGGCCGACCGCATTCTGTCCCCTATCAACACTTTCTAAGCTTGTGTTGTCTAAAAAAATAGAAAATAATCGTACAAAAAAATTTAATAAAAGAAAAATGACAAGCTTGCAACACGCATCTGATTACTCATTATGAATAGGAT